TGGACCGAGAAAGACAAACAAATCAACGTAACACTAATATTACAGATCAACAACACAGATACGATTCTCATTTATTCATTTTATTTACATTTCATAAAATTGTATTCAAACGATTTTTTGGTTTGTTTTATCTGAGTGTTGCAGGGTATTCTCTGAATACCTTGAAGACCCTGACGGTTCACCACTGTCTGAGACCCATAATATATGCCCAAAAATAGCGTGATAGGAGATCTTTAACATATATTGATATATAGCGCTATAGATGGAAAAATACCAATAATCATCATAATCATCTGTTACAAAACAATCACAGAACAAATCAAAGCGTATTAATGTAATGCTCAACACAGTGGAACCCAACCTCAAGTTGCACTGTGGTGTTGTTCTGTGCCTCTGTCCTCCACCTGACATACAGGTCTATCAGTAACCTGCACCGAGGGTTTGGGTATGTGTTCAGGATTCTAAGAGCCCTGTTACTCATTGTATCAGGCTCCCAAGGTGAAAGGGAGAGACATGGGCCTTAGATTAATTCGAGCCACAGAATAATGAGGCTGCTCTCAGACTTCCCCGGTGAATAAAGACAAATGGCTTTTGTTTGTGCCAGCTTCGCTATCTTGCATAGATAACTCCAATAAGCCAGAGAACATTCAAAAATGTGAAATAAACTGTAATTGAGCGAGGCTTCTATGAAGTGACGAGGTATTTTCATACTCTGTTGAAAGTAATCCCATGGGGGGTGGAAGCGGAGGATGGCGGACCGGAGATGACAAAGCTGTCCTCTCTCTGGAGAAAAGTATTTTTTATACTGAGCACAACAAATGTCTCACTTCCAATCATTTTGTTCTCGGCTGATTGGACATTTGCATTGTGATTCTTGTGTCGGAGCCATCATGTCAAATACTTTACTTGTCAGGGTCAAGACCATCGCGCTGGTTATAATTAGAGCCAAGAAGAAAAAGTCCCTGTAATTGCTCCATCGCCATCAGTCATATCATGCCTGAGACTACAGGGTCTACAAGGTCAAAGCCATCAACCAACCATGTCTACACCTGACCCCAACCCTGTCCCCTGCAAAGATTTCATTTCATAGATTGCAGTCTATTCCAGCAATACATCAGTACAGAACTGGATCTCAATGTATTTCAAGTCAATAATAGCCCTTCGTAACTTAATGTATTTTTCCTAATGTTGTTAGTAGCGGATACAAGGGCTGTATTGAATAGGAAATGGTTAGAACTTTTTATTTTATTTCTCATCTTATATGGTTTCTTTACTTGTTTTTTCTATGCTGGTATGAAGTGGTAGGGCTCGTGAAATATTTGAAGTCATAATTTTCCATGTACCAATCGGGATTTAGCAACATCTGAAACAGAATATGATGATTGGGGGGTTGTGTGGTTATGTTGCCGGAGTTTCTTAAAAAAATATCTTATCAAAAATACCATTATATGCTTTTTTTCTGCGTGATGTATGTAGACATATTTAAACGTACCTTAATGGACATCTGTTGACACTTGGGGTAATGTAACAAGTTGAAAGCAGAACACTGACATATTATCATCTTGTAAGGTGATACATGAATACATAAGGGACAATGTACACTAGTTTCTGCCCATTTGGTAATATTCACTTGCTTGTTTTTCTTGGTCATCACCAATGTGTGAAGGAAATGGCTACCTCTGTTTACTAGCTAGATGTAAATGTTGTTTGTTGGTTGATGCTGTTCACAGTGGGCTTTTAGATATTTGTCAGTGTAAACAGCTGCCTGCTATTGAGGAAATTGGGTTGATAAAAGCATTGAGAATTGCCCAAAAGTTGGAGTGAATTAAATTAGTTATGTTAACAAGCTAAAAGTTTATCCAAACCACTTTATTTGGATATACAACTGAATGAGCGCACACATAATAATCCCTCAGTGTTGAAGGGATTGTGGGCACATACAGTTTTTACTGTAGATTGCTACTTCTTCTTTGTTTGATCAAACGTGATATTCACATGAAACATCATCTTCTTTGCACCCTTCAGTTCACAGGAATATCACCACCCAGACGACAACAACGTTGATGTACAAAAATACATTTATTTGAAACAATTTCAAAATGAGTTTCCTTACCGTAGAAATATGGAAATAAAGATGAAACAAAACATTACTGATGGTGCATGCATTGTAGATGTTTGTGCAATGAAGAACATTACAATGCTTATGCCTTCGGAAATATCACGAAAGCAAGAATCTCTTTCATTTTCTGGATCATTTTACAGAATATTGTGGATTTTTGAGAAGTCAGATTAGACAGAAATGTCCAGTGATGGAATGACCAATGAAGCAATTACTGAAAGTCTATGAACATGTTCAGTAGCTATTCTTTGAGACTTTTTTTGGAGTACCGAATTCTGTACCTTGCAAAAGCTGCAACAAAGCATCATGGCCTGGCTCTAAGTGAAGTCATCATATTCTTTACAATTTCAAAGGATCCAGGAGGGGCGAAAAAGGACCAAAACAATACAGTACAAGTAGGATTGTTCAGTACACATTTTTTACAACTTTTCAAAAGTTTTATTTCTGTTTGTCCTAATCCTGTTTTGCTAATACAAATCACAAGAAAGACAGCATCAAAAACCCCACGCTAAGAAAATCCAGCAAGGCAAACAACTCTCTGCTTATGGCATGTGATGAATACAACACAGCTATAAAACAATCTTTGTTCAATGTGTATTCTGTCTGCACTAACAAGGCTTGGCTGTTTGGTTTGAGATGAGAACGCTGTGTTTGAGGTAATGAATATGTGATGTGACAGCCTATGCCTTTGTGTCTGTCCCCTCTCGCTTAGCCTGCAAGTGCTGTTTACTTCAGCTGAGCATTGTGGGAAAGCTCTGCATGGGGCACGCTCTGCTCAGGTGTCCAGCTTTCTCGGATTATCACCATGCTGGATACCAAGAGGCTGGCGGGAATCATCCCAAGGCCAGTCAGTAAGAAAACAGCTCTGATGGGAGAATGGTGCATGCTGGGAGGATGTTACCTCCTTATTTCAAACTTAAAGCAAAGCAGTGAGTCAAGCGTTGGGTTGTTAAAGAACCACAATGGCCCCATGGAGAGTGGATTTAGTCTTTTTAAAGGAAGGGGCGATTTCACAACAGTATTGCGTGGCTTTTGCTAACCACTAAACCTGTGCAAATAAGATAACATACTCCACAAAGGGTGAAATGCACCCTTACATTTGCACTGATTTCAGTTAAGTCATATGCAGGCATTTGGCATAACATGAGCCTTAAAGGCGGTCCAATTCACTCCAGTGGAATTATTACTCTCATGACTGTAGCCAGGCGAAGACTTCGTCATGCTCCGCTCAAACTCGTTTATTGTGGGTTTGCAGTGACAGGATGTAAGGACAGTTGTATGATGAAAAATAGATGAAGAAAGCGTCTCTGCATGTCGTTTTTGAAAAAAACAAAGAAAGAAAACCACGAATGACACGAATTTGGGGTATTATAAAAGCGAGAACATATATACTTTTTTCCCCCTCTCCTTCCACAAAATAAAGCAAATTGCACCAAGCTGAACGTTATGGCACTCCTTTTGCTGTAATATTAGAAGTCAATATCGTCTGTGAATCCGACCTTGGGACAGGGTAGAACGCTGGCTCACTGTGCCCTATTGATGACTCACTTTTGAGATAAGATGCAGTTTTCTTGTCGTAATGAAGGAGAATGTTTGTGGGGCGAAATTAGCTGTCAAGTAAATCAACCCTCCTCCCCTGCATGGAGCCGACAGCAAAACCCTGAGCAAAGAACCAAGTGAACAACCAGCGAGAGTTCCTTTCAAGTTTCAGGTATATCCATTTCTGAAAAAAGTATTTGTTTTTGATTGTGTATATTCAATATAACACAATCAATGGTATATGCTTACAAATATGTATGTACTAGGCCTTCTTAGGGTTTTATCAGTATTAGGTGTAGCTTTAAACACGTGGCAGTTACTGGCATTCATAAATAACTCAAACTCATTGTTTACACTCAGTATTGTATTGAGTGGTGCAGGAATGAGTCCTGAATCGGGAATGAGTTAGCATTTTATTGCTTCCGGTTCACTCGCCTAAAAGTCAACTTTCTTTTAACGTATTTGTAGTTAGGTCATTTGACTTTGATGCAGTTTGTTAATATCTTAATGTTAGCTTCCGGTTCTGGCAATTACATTTTAGCTCCAGAAATCACAAATTGGTGTTTATATGTGGAGATTATCATGGTGAACAAAACACGTTATGTATCATAAACCTGTGTTTTGTCACAGCGCTTATTATTTGCAATTTTTGAAAATCTATTAAAGAATCAAATAGCTTTTTGTTGAAGGAGCCCTTGCGATGCTAACTTCAGGGTCCGCCAACAATAAAAGGTCATCAGTGCACCACTCGATTGATTCATATAGTTCTTTCCCAAACAGGAACCGAAGTGGAACCAGCTATCAGAACCCAACCTTCTGTTCGTGGTATTTCTGAGGACGTACACATAACTTATAATGTTATTTTGGATTGAACGCCATCAACGTTCTCCCAACATATGAATATTTTGAATTTGATCACTGGTCACCACAATAGAAATGAGTTCTGATGCCCAATCTGAGTCATTGTCCAACAGGCAGAAGGTAATGTAATGAGACCAATGGCAAGGATGGAATCTGTGTAAACATCACTGAATATCTATTGTATATATCTAATGAAACACATTGGACATGTTTGTATTTCTTTCCAGGGAAATAGTGGGACGTTAATACTGCATTATTTCAATAGAATTCTACCTGCATTTACAGATAAACCTTTTCTACAAGATACTTATCGCTCAACAGTAACTGCAGAAAACGAGGGCAAAACAGAAGAAGTGTGGGTAAAATCCATTGGGCTCTTTGAGGGAGGATTAGAAAACAACTATTTACAACACTTGCTTATCTAAAACACAGAAATCCTGTCCTCAATAAGAACATGCACAAGTCAAGAACCTTAGCGAAACAAAGTTGATTTCTTTAAGTAATGTTTTAACACACTTTCAAAAACAGACCAGATCCTCTGTTGTCCATGGTACTTAGACTACGAGCAGGTAGAAAGTAATAATATATACATTTAACAGAACATATGATAATATTGTACATTTCAATAATATTCCCTGTTAGATTGAAGACTCAGACATTATAGTCTATATATAGGCAGAAATTATTCTCAAAGCAAACTCCTTATGAAATGTACAGAACTCTTCACAGGTGTGGACAAAGGTATTTCACTCTGTGAATGAATGTAGCTTATCCAAACAACTGTATATGCCAGTTACGACACTGATCTCATCGAGTAAATTGACATTTTTCTGCGTGGATGTTGCTGAATGAGGCATCCGTGCAAGTCAGTATAAATGAGGTCCCTTAGAAAACTATTAACATCAGTTGTGTTGAGAATTACAAAACAGAAAAAGAGAACCCCGACACTGTAACACTTGGCTGTACATAAACTGTCGCTCTCCAGCTTTACACGCTAGTACAGTTGGGAATCTCCCTTGTGCTCTCGCAGGCGTTTCCAACTCCCCCTGAGGAGAGACGGACAGAAGAAAAGAATGAGAGATAGTTAGTTCTGCATCAGTACTTATATATACCACCTCTTTGACATGGTCGTGTTTATTACTGAAATGTTTTAATCCAAGGATTTGTAGCTGTTTTTTGGATATAAGAAAGTGAGCCATTATGAAAATGTGTTTCTTTTTTCTACCGCTCATGCTGAAAATGAAGGGAAACTTCAGTGAGTCGTATGATGTCATTAGTGGAGGATGATGGGATACATGCAGGATCGGGAAGTAAGGGATTTAATGTAACGTATAATGTAATCAGGATACAAAACATTGCATTTCTTCTGTAAACTGTACTGTTCTGTAGGCCAATACTTTAAGTGTGAATCATGTGTTTCAGTGTTGGTGTATAAACTACTGCCTGAATATGCTTAATGACAGGCAGGTTTTCCTATAAATAACATATAATCCATACTTTCATACTCAGATGAGGTTACTAATTACACATTTTACTGGTAACTAGTAATTGTAATGAAATGCATTTTCAAAGTAACCCTCCCAACCCTGGGTACACATCTATCCAAAGACCTCCAGTGTAGTTCCACTGCATTTTACAACATTTTTGGGAACAACTCACATAAAACAAAATAACTCCTAAAGTGGTGTTAAGGGCAATTATACACTGAACAAAAATATAAATGCAACACTTTTGTTTTTGCTCCCATTTTTCATGAGATGAACTCAAAGATCTAAAACATTTTCTATATACACAAAATAACCATTTCTCTCAAATATTGTTCACAAATCTGAAAAATCTGTGATAGTGAGCACTTCTCCTTTGCCGAGATAATCCATCCCACATCACAGGTGTGGCATATCAAGATGCTGATTAGACAGCATGATTATTGCACAGGTGTGCCTTAGGCTGGCCACAATAAAAGGCCACTCTGAAACGTGCATTTTTGCTTTATTGGGGGGGGTCTGAAAACCAGTCAGTATCTGGTGTGACCACCATTTGCCTCACGCAGTGCAACACATCTCCTTCGCATAGAGTTGATCAGGTTGTTGATTGTGGCCTGTGGAATGTTGGTCCACTCCTCTTCAATGGCTGTGCCAAGTTGCTGGATATTGGCAGGAACTGGAACACGCTGTCGTATACGCCGATCCAGAGCATCCCAAACATGCTCAATGGGTGACATGTCCGGTGAGTATGCTGGCCATGCAAGAACTGGGATGTTTTCAGCCTCCAGGAATTGTGTACAGATCCTTGCAACATGGGGCCGTTCATTATCATGCTGCAACATGAGGTGATGGTCGTGGATGAATGGCACAACAATGGGCCTCAGGATCTCGTCACGGTATCTCTGTGCATTCACGATGCCATCAATAAAATGCACCTGTGTTCGTCGTCCATAACATACGCCTGCCCATACCATAACCCCACCACCACCATGGGCCACTCGATTCACAACATTGACCCCAACCGCTCACCCACACTCTGCCCTGAACAGTGAAAACCGGGATTCATCCGTGAAGAGAACACCTCTCCAACGTGCCAGACGCCATCGAATGTGAGCATTTGCCCACTCAAGTCGGTTACGACGACGAACCGGAGTCAGGTCGAGACCCCGATGAGGACGACGAGCATGCAGATGAGCTTCCCTGAGACGGTTTCTGACAGTTTGTGCAGAAATTCTTTGGTTATGCAAACCGATTGTTGCAGCAGCTGTCCGATGCTGGATGTGGAGTTCCTGGGCTGGTGTGGTTACACGTGGTCTGCGGTTGTGAGGCCGGTTGGATGTACTGCCAAATTCTCTGAAACGCCTTTGGAGACGGCTTATGGTAGAGAAATGAACATTCAATTCATGGGCAACAGCTCTGGTGGACATTCCTGCTGTCAGCATGCCAATTGCACGCTCCCTCAAAACTTGCGACATCTGTGGCATTGTGCTGTGTGATAAAACTGAACATTTTAGAGTGGCCTTTTATTGTGGCCAGCCTAAGGCACACCTGTGCAATAATCATGCTGTCTAATCAGCATCTTGATATGCCACATCTGTGAGGTGGGATGGATTATCTCGGCAAAGGAGAAGTGCTCACTATCACAGATTTGTTCAGATTTGTGAACAATATTTGAGAGAAATGGTTATTTTGTGTATATAGAAAATGTTTTAGATCTTTGAGTTCATCTCATGAAAAATGGGAGCAAAAACAAAAGTGTTGCGTTTATATTTTTTGTTTGACAAGACAACATGAAACACATGCAGAGAATACACATTTGTGTTTATGTTATACTGTAGGTTATAACAGCATGTCAGGACTAACTGCTTTCTCTGATTCAAGGCTGTAATAAGTTTCATCAGCATTGCATTATTTCATAACTCTTCCTCAGAATACTAGAACCATTTAAGTTATGATTTCAATTGGAAGAGGCCAACAAGGTCCACATGTTGAAGATGTATTGATAGGATTGACTAAACCAACATTACTCAACAAACATAGTTCATTTTTCTGTTAAGCAGTATATTGTTAATGGCAAATTAATTGAATTATAATGTAACACTGTCGAAAACATACCCAACAAACATGTTTATCAATTTGCTTTTCATATAGAGAACAAATGTACTTTATGCAAGACTGAACAAGACATTAGAATGAATTAGTTGTTTGGTTGCGCATTTTGTCTCACACTCAGGAGAGTTGTTTTTATTTTAATTCTTTCTTTTGAATAATTTAATTTGTATTGCTGTTTGTTCTTGTTTTGTTATTAGAATTTAAACAAATGCTTACTTTTTTAAAGGGTTATATCCTCATTGGTTTGGACCCTATGCATTTGTTGAAAAAAAGGCCTGTGTGCGAACTGGGGGGGTTGAGTTTGGGTCTAATAAAGGATATTATTACGTTGCATTATTCAAAATGTAGTGTCCAGTAATAATAAGCATTACTATGAGGATGTCTTCCGTCTTCTGAACTGACTATATCATAATCCGTGTTTGCTGCCTGTAAGAAAATGCAATACTAAATCCCTGGATTGGCCATTTAATGTGATATACTGTATATTCCAGGACTGGAAGTAATTATTACTCTAATTAGCATGATTGCTTCTATTTGACGCTTTAAATTGTCCGTTGTATTTATTACATTATGTAATTATTGTCATTTTAAATGTGTTATCTTTTTATAACAGCACTCAATAGAGTACTGCAGTGATGATGGGATTTCCCCAGTTGATTTTGGTATATTGCAGAAATCAAGCTTTGTGGTCAACACTCGTGAAGGATACTGACACGTTTTGTTCAGCAGAATGATTTCCATATACTAACATCACTTTGTCCTTTTTTAAGCATAAATGCAACCAGAAGAAGTGAAAAAGCGAATGTATGAAGTACATTACGGTCACATGGTGGTGCGTCACCCCGGCTAAGCTAAAGGCGGACTTGTGTCGGAGTGATGAGGTATATAAGTCTAATTTAACCAATCGTTATTTATGTAACATATTTTATTTTGTGGAACAAAAAGGTTAGCTTGTGTTAACCCCAGACCTTATTTCAGGCTTCTTACCACAAACATGTTAAAAAATCCATTGACTTTGAGACGACCGGAAATGGTAATATGCTAATCATTTTCTGGGTTTTAAGAATCATTACTGCACCACTCTATATCACAGATCCCATATACATGCACTGTCTGGTTGCACTGCATGTATAGAAGGCATCGAGGCTTTTGTGTTGCTGCTGTTTTTCCTGTATATTTGTCCTGATGCAAGTTCTAGAAAATTCACTACAGGAGTGGAATACAGTCTTTGTTTCATACGCTATGAATGTGTAGCATAACAACTAGTTGTGCAACCCTGTGAAGTCTTCTATACTGTAGCAGAGGTCGGCATGTATTATTCAATTTGTAGACTTAGTATGATTAGGGTTGGGGCAGCACCTCAGGTCATGCTGCTACATGATGACAATACTAACCGGCTCTCCTCTGTGGAGAGGCTTACAGGCAGTAAGCAGAAGATAACAATGGGCATTGAGCTGAATACAATATTGTGGGTGTCACCTCGGTGTAAGACCTTAATCTTTTTCACACCTAAGTCAGCTACTCAGAGACAAATTCATTCTGGAACTGCACTTGCCATTTGACCTGTACTGCATTCTGTTGGTAAAGCAGCAAAACAGCGTATCATATAAGGTCAGAGTAAGCAGAATTTAGCCAATTAGCTTTTTGCAAATGTGCTGGAATATTTAAACAAGTCATATTCTAACCAAATAGTCAAGTGATTAAGGCCGCTGCCTCTGTGCTCCTGCTGGCCAACGAAGTCCTGAGGCAGCATGCTTAAACATGTTGGTTTTATTATTTATTCATTGTTCTCAGTACTGCAAGCCTTGCTGAAAATCTTTTCTTTACTGTGCTAAACCCCATCCTGGTCTGTCTATACTCTGCGGCTCCCTCTGCTTTCCTCTTCTCTGAATAATTCAAATTGCTAAAAGGAGATTAAGTTGCCAATTCTCTGTTTTAAAAAATAATTCAAATTCAATAGCTAAAGTACTCCTGGGGTATGATTCTGCACACATGTATTTGTGTATTCTGACTTCTAAGACCATCTTCAAAATGATAGAAAATCATGTCTCTGATCAGGAAATCAAAACCCTTTTCAAGTCAGTAAGCAATCCTTTTGAGTGGAATCATTTCACTCCATGAAAGCTCTTCATTTACTTTTGATCCTGGCATCCAGTTCTTTCTCCATGAGTTCTTTGGATGCGGAGAACTCACTCAGAGTGATTTTAGGCGTGCTGTCGCCCTGGCCGACCGAGCCAATCATCTCCTGCTCCTTCTCCTGGTTCACCTCAGCGTATATGTTGATCCAAGGTATTTTTCTAATTTTATAAAAGAAGAGATTGACAAATTGGAAAAAATGAAATGTTTGCCATATTTTTCAGTATAAAAATAATCATTTATAAATCTAACAAAAGTGTTTTTTTTATGACAAACTTTAAACACATTTTCTCGGCTAACCTCAAGGACAGTTCTGTTTCCTAGTGCTTTGGGCATTCCAACTTTCAGAGTTGTCTCAACTGTAATAATACCTCAGTCACTACTCTTTAGGCATATTACAGTGGCATTGGTATCTTTCCCATCAACATGTATAACACCTACATCTATATTTAGTCACCATCCAATTTATTTCCAATTACCATTAATTTGGGCTTTTTTAATTGCTCTGTTTTGTCAACTGTGAGATTTCCAGAAAAATGCATGCTCTTTAGAGTAATGGGAAAAATTCATATTCATAATTAATGACAGATTTTCCATTCCCTCCGACTTTTCAAGAGAATCATTTCATGTATGAATAATTTATTCAGCAAATAACAAGCGTGGAACAGCAACAGCATATTCAACCCTTTAATGGTCGTTTTATCCACATGTTATCACTGATTGGAGCCACATGCTCATTCAATCCTGCTAGAAGTTTGTGTACAACCTCTAGGGGGACTTGTTCAATCCAATTTCTTAGCGCAACTGATTGATTGGTCCAGACGGTGCTCAAATGGTATCATCAATAATGGATAATAAAATAATAGATATATACTAGGGTTATATATGACCGTGCCATGTGCAGCAGGTGGAATTAATCACACAGTGTACCTCTTGAATTTGTAGATGAGGAACACTGCTAGACCCAGGAACACCACTGATAGGAGCATCAGCATGGCCGAGCTGCTGTGTCTGGGGCTGGAGTCCACCAAGGGTGCTGTGGGAGCGGACAGGAAACAGTTAGCTTTTGGTAGATGTCCTTTAATTTCATTGTTTGCCTCACCAACAAGCCCCGCAATGTGTGAGACGTTGATGTACATGAATCCACATTAATCATGATAAAAGGTTAAGTAGCTAAAGTGAGAAGTGGTTGGAAGAGCTGTAATCATCTGTAGGCTTTATAACATGTTAGGCTAGTTTAGCAGGTGACATGTGCTTTGATATCATTGTCTGCATTACCAACATGCCCAGCAATTTGAGTAAATTAAAGTACATTATTCCTGATAGAAAGTGTAGTAGCTATTAAATGGAAGTAGGTGAAGTTATTTGATGCCTGTAAATAAATGAAGGCTATATAACATGGGTAGCTAGTTTAGCATGTTACTGTAGATGTGCTTTAATATGACTTTTAACCTAACCAACTTGCCCAGCAATTTGTGTACATTTGATGTAAATTATATACATTATTCCTGATTAAAAGTTAAGTAGCTCTATAAAGTAAATTAAATGAAGTTGTTGGAAGACCTGTGAATACATGTAGGCTATACAAGCTAGTTTAGCATGTAGGCCTAACTGTGCTTTGATATGATTTGTCTGCCTTACCAACATGCCCAGCAATTTGTGTCAATGTGATGTATACTACTGTACATTATTACTGATTAAAACAAATAAAGCAGGCAAGTAGGAACAATGTGTCCAATCAGTCCAATCTGGGCTCATGTTCATTTCTTCCATTGGAGGGGTAAATACTCAACGTTCTACATTCAAGCTTTAATAAAGTAAAATACATAAAGAAAAATAAAGTCACACTGAAGAAGTGTTTAAACAACCCCATTTTGATAGCACATCGCCAGGTTTGCATTGCTTCTAAACAATTACAATCCTACCAAACGTGTTGAAGACATTCCCAACATAACTAAAGCACTTAATATTTATTTATTAAATATCCTCGTTTTTCTAGCTAGAAGTCTTATTCTCCATTGCTAGCTTATTGTCTTTACTGTTTATTTCAGTGTACTACTTTATTTGACAGCCGCAGTGCATCATTAATACATTTCTCAATATGAGTAGAGTTAGCCAGAATGTATAATTGTGTCTGTTGTGCCCTGGAAGGAAATCTTTTAAAGCCCAATCATAAGGAATACAAGCATATCAAGTACATTCAACACCCCTTTCCAATGAATTGTTGATTAGTAGAGTATGCTACACAGGTAGCAGGATTGTGTTTTGTCCATCAACCACTTTAAAAACTCCACAGGGCGTCTTTAATCTGCAATATGTACAACATGTAGCTATGAACTGCAAGTGCTTAGGCAGTTTAGCAAAACAATTTTTGTAAAAAAAAACGTCATGGTTCTCTAAACATTTGTGTCATCAGTTTGTTTCTATCGTAATACAAATTGGGTTATTTTTCATTTTCCGGACTGCACATTCACATGAAATGAAATATAGACCCATGTTTATGCACCAGCAAATTAACTCGTGAGTTCTGTATATACACACACAACAGAGATAATGGATTTGAAAATGATGCTTTTGTTTTAAATAGCTCAAATGTCATTGTTGTGATAGCGTGGAATTGCTGTTTCTATTGCTGGGCAAAGAAGGTGACGGCAGCAGGTATTTATTACTTTTCAGGTAGATTTGAAATGGTTACATTTACCTCAAACAAAAGGCTAATCAAACAAGCACTTTCAAGGATTGGTATCAAAGTACATGGTTTTGCTCGTAATCAAACTCGTATGTTGAAGAGGGCTTTAATGTCTGTTGTTTCAGGGAAATCACATTGCATTCCCAATGTTTATGAGCTACTTGCAAACACTTGAGCTTAGAAACAGCGTGTTGACCTTTCTCAAGCAGCTTGAAGGCTCAGACCTTTTTCTTGGGAGGTGAAATATAAAGAGGTATCCAGCTGGGTAAACCTCCAATGTCATTAAAGTGCAGCACACCACAGATCGTCACAGAACAGCATATGCCAGGCTGTTAATACCCAGCACTTTCAGCTACACACAACTCATGGCTGTGTGCCTCCGAAGACTGTTTGCCTAATGAAACTAGCCAAGCAATGAATACTGTGTAAGTGTATCTGTCCAGCAGTCAGACACAGGATTTGTTAAGTATTTCCAACACCAATAAAAGGTAGATTTCGCCTGAAAATCCATGTTATTTACAATGTGCCTCCATGAATCCAGCATTGCTTTTATACTTATAACAGCACTTTGGTTTTTGGCAGCAGTGCCTATTAAATGTTTCTAATCTTGACCACCTATTTTCAGCATTTTAGAACCAGACGCTGTTGACTTCTCAAGCATTTCTGAAGACATTTTTTCCCATAAGGGTGTACAGTGTTATTTCTCAAGGACTAAATAATCAACATAATTATACTCAGTGTAACACTCATTTTGTGGTTGGATGGCGATGCAAGAAATAGAACAGATGTTCAGCTTTTTATGGCAGGCATAAAAGATCGTCTCAAGGAGCTCCACTTAAAATCAACCCTGAGCCTGTCATACTCCCCTGTGTTCTTTATTGGGAAAGGCGGCAGACTGACAGGAATTGTAATCAGTGGAGCAAAGAAACATTCATGTTGTCCAATGACCATTTTTACAGTTGTGTATTTTGGGACTTCCAAATGAAGAATGTAAAATGATAGGTGATGCTTAAATGACCCATGCCAGGTACAATTAGGGTTGATAACTTAATGTCAATAAGAGCAAATGTTTCTTACCAAGTGTTAACTGTGTGTTGTACACAATCACCCTTACACCAGGCTTCAGCTCGAACTCCACCAAGTTCTGGTTCAGCGCGGTTACAATTACATCGGATACCTGTTAAACACATACAACATGGTTATCTACATTAAAATAAGTCTTGTTTTGCTTTGTGAATAGCAACGTTTTTGATTAGATTTCAAGTAATAATGTACATTTTCAATAAAGTCCCCCATACCTGCTCTAGCACCTCCTCACTCTTTTTCTTGCCCTCTGATTGGTTCTTGTGGGGTAACAGGAAGAGCTCGGCAGCTGTTGGGACTCCTGGGAACACGGCTACCAGGAGCTGCTCCTCTGGGAAGTCCGACACCTGGGATAAGGCAGACAAATGCACTGTGACAGTGATTTATTCAAATAACTTCATCAATTTATGACTTTGTTCTGTGCCCATGAAATCAGACAATTACATTCTTCCAGTCAGCTTACCCCCCTGGAGTGGATTATTGTGTGAATGTTATATATGTATTCCAAACATAAGGAAGCACAGCGCTCAACAGAGCAGGGGGCTGGTTGTGAACATAATAACATCCCCAGCAGAAGAACTGAGACTCAAGTACACTGCCATAATCAAGAGGGTTCTTTGGAAATATGTTGCAATGTGAAGATTAGGGTGTGTGAATGTAGCAGCTAAGTTGAATGCTTGATTCTGATTGGTCAATTTGACGCTCATATCAAGGGACAATGTGAATATCAATCCACAGTAAGAAGTCTGGTCAGTTTAACGTCAACTGTGGCAAAAACACATTTGTTTTTCTTCAACAGAAAACACCATGCAATACTTTTTCAATATCCCTTTTTTCATATATATATATATTGAGATCATGAAAAGTTGGTCTTATGATGACTGAACGGTCTGTACAGAAAATAAAGAGAGAACAAGAACAGAAAACTAGGAAAGGGAAGAAGTTAGAAGAGGGTTAGGGTTTTGTCGACAGAGAGATCAGTGGAAAAGGAAAGACAGGAATTAAACACAAACATGAACAGCAGAAGAAAATAGACATTGCTTGTCGAAAGTGCAGATCTGCTGGCACTAACAATGTCTCCTGCTGTGGAGAGCACCCTCTCGCTATGGACAGAGGTAGCAGATACAGCCAGGTAGCGCTTTTCTAACATGGCAACATAAGGATATTTGGCGTTTGTAATAGCTTTGGCTCGGTCTGAACTCTCTGCGAGTGGTGGAGGCTTACATGCTAGTGGGAGTTGGGTTTGCACTTCAGTCTTTTTTCTTTTGGTACCGGTGATATTCACGTTCGGGTGATGCCTTTTCAAATGAGTGTGATGTATTGCCAGCCGCGTAACCAATGTTAGTTGAACAATGCCGACAAACAGCTTTGGTTCGGTCCACCTGTCTTTATCCTTCATCCTTGTACGTAACTGCGAAACCAAAATGTTCCCAAACCGGAGACTTCAATGATGCTGGAGGATTTTCGAGCTCAACTTTATCTAAGTTCGCCATTTCGACAGTTCCTCAAATTACTGACTACATTTGAACGCATCCCTGTGACCAGTCTCATAGTATGCCTCTCGTCCAATGAAATGACTTGGTCGCTCTATGACGCGTTGAACCCAATGTGAGCAAATTACTCTGAATGCTGCGACGCAGCACCTGAGATTCTGAGACCTGCAGCAGTAGGTTCCACAAGAAGACATAAACAACAGAACAACAAAAGGACATCATACAGCAAAATGTACAGGGATTACAATTTACATATTTAACCACAAGTACAGGTACCAACAGCATCTGATTTTGTAGCATCCAACCGAGCTTTAAAAACATGTAGTGGTACTAGCTTGGTAATCTTCCATTCTTTTTGCAGACTGTTCCATGTTAGTGGAGCTGCACATCTAAAAGCTTTCTTCCCTAAGACAGTCCTAGCACTTGGCACATTTAATAAAACCACAGCATGCGATCTCAGGCAATAAGTACTTTCAATTCGCAGAGAGATCAGGGAGCAGATATAAGATGGTAGTTTATCCAACATGGCTTTGTAAATTACATTACATTACATTACATTGCATTTAGCTGACGCTTTTGTCCAAAGCGACTTACAATAAGTACATTCGACCAGGAAGACACAACCTTGAAGAAAACAGAATCATATAAGTACATCAGGTTTCATAGAGCCAAACATTTCAAGTGCTACTCAACTGGCTTTAGGTAAGCCAGTCCTTTATTAGTATAAAAGTGCTTCGTTAATAGTTCCAACGCTCGAAGTGGAGTCGAAAGAGATGAGTTTTCAGTCTGCGCCGGAAGATGTGCAAGCTATCTGCCGTCCTGATGTCAATGGGGAGCTCATTCCACCATCCTGGAGCCAGGACAGCAAACCCACGTGTTTTTGCTGATGGGAACTTGGGTCCCCCTCGCAGCGAGGGCGCAGCGAGTCGTTTGGCTGATGCAGAGCGTAGTGCACGCGCTGGGGTGTACGGTTTAACCATGTCCTGGATGTAGGAAGGGCCAGATCCATTCGCAGCATGGTAAGCAAGTACCAGTGTCTTGAAGTGGATTCTAGCAGTTACCGGAAGCCAGTGAAGGCAGCGGAGGAGCGGAGTGGTGTGGGAGAATTTAGGAAGGTTGAAGACCAGACGAGCCGCTGCATTCTGGATGAGCTGCAGAGGTCGGATGGCACATGCAGGTAGACCAGCCAGGAGGGAGTTGCAGTAGTCTTGGCGTGAGATGACGAGAGCCTGGACCAGAACTTGCGTCGCTTTCTGTGTCAGCTGGGGACGTATCTTCCTGATGTTGTAAAGCGTGTATCTGCAGCAACGGGTTGTAGCAGCGATGTTTGCAGTGAAGGACAGGTTGTTATCTAGGGTCACACCCAGATTCCTTGCAGTCTGAGTCGGGGAAACAACTGAGGTGCCGATGTTGATTGTTAGGTCAAGAGTGGGACAATCTTTTCCCGGGAGGTAGAGCAGCTCAGTCTTGTCAAGGTTGAGCTTGAGGTGGTGAGCAGACATCCACTGAGAGATGTCAGCTATATATAAATGAAAAAGTACCAGTGACTGAGCCTCCGTACAGTAAGTGATGGCATAACCGCCTTGGTATACAGGGTACAGTGATGCGTAAGTGCTTTACAATTTGTCAAAAATCTCAGTGCACTGTGATACGCAGCATCTAACTTGCTCAGGTAATTGGCAGGTGCATTCATATATAACAAATCACCATAATCCAGCACAGGTAAAAAGGTCACAGTGACTAGCCTTTTCCTGGCCTCAAGCGAGAAACAGGACTTATTTCTGTAAAAGAAACCTAGCCTAACCCTCAACCCTCAGATTACTTCCAAGAAGTTGTTCACGTTCTCAATTGTTTACGTTTAACGTTATATTCGTTCAGTACACTTCGGTACACATGTGTACCGAACCAAAGGGCCCGTACCGAATAATTTCGGTATGGGTACGTATACCGTTACACCCCTACTGGATAGACTCAACATTCACCAGAATGTACTGGAAGGATGGCAGTGGCAGAACTGGACTCTAGCTACTGTTCTGGAACCACTCATAACTAGCCCTGATCGGCAGCAGAGAGATCAGGTTGGAACAACACAGATAGATACGTAGATACAAAGAGACAAAAGTGCCAAATGCATAATGACCTTTGTGTCTAGTTACATTACATTACATGTCACTTGTTACATGCTTTTATCCAAAGCGACTTACTGTGGATAATCCCCACAGGAGCCATTTGGGGTGAAGTGTCTCAGGGACACAACGACATGCTGACTGCAGTGGGACTCGAACTTGCTATCCCCTGATTCAAAGTCCAACACCCCTCCACTGTGCCTCCACTGTGCCTCCCATTCAGTTCAGTCATGTTAGTACCCCACTGTTTCAAATATCACTTGTTGGGAAGACAGTCCAGTTGTTCTTTTTCTTTAACACTTCAGGGTTCATATTGTTCAGTTCCAATGTTTCTCAACTGGACACTGTGCTACATAAAGCTGTACCAAAGCAGAATCTCTGCATGAAAAGATTGTTTCTTCAACATTAAGTAAGTAAAGAATGTGAAGAACTGATGAATGGATTGTCCTGGAACATGATACAGAAAGTCATGGTTACCAGAAGATGAACTCTAATCATTTTGATGATCCCCTGACTTCTTAAAACATTTGGATTTTTTAAAAAAGAAATCTGTAATTGTAAAATTCCCATCAGCTTCCTATGTCATTGAGCATTCATTGATAAAAAAGACAATCAATCATAATTGTACCTAGAAGCTTTTTGCTACAAATGTAACAGTGAAAAAACAGCTATGACTCAACTATCCCAAGCTTTGCCTTTCTAATTGCTTGCTGAGGGTGGAATAAATATGTTTTTTGTAAGAAAAATAAACAAAAGCTTCAAACACGCTGTTGCAATTTTGAAAGTAAGATATTTTGGTGCCGGTCCTCACAGAAATTCCTTCAGACGTGTAATTAGACTTTTTCAATCCAACAAAAGAAAGTCATTTGGTTTGAAATGAAATGAAAACGTTTTCTGGTTAAATCTCAATTTCCTTTGGTTTTTGTTGAAATAGGTGAGGCCAAACCAATGTTTTCTCTTTTATTTTCCCGAAAACCTTTTTCGGCACTCTTAACCAGTTTATTCAAGGAAGGGATGCAGAGCCTGGGCGGTGATCACTCTTCATTTTAGAGCCTGTGATGTTTTGATGTTTTCTCAGCGGCTGAGGTGGACAATGGAGTGGCTAAAGCCAAAGCACATCAATTATCAAGCACTGAAATCCCTATTTGAGTACCAAAGTAGTGGACAAATGATAGCCATGGGCATGACTTGCAATGAGAGAAGGGGTGGCAGAGGGGGAGATAAAGTAAATAGGATGACAAAAGAGGCAATAGCCCCTGAAAAAAAATCAATACACTTTGACCATGTTTGTTCTCATTGCAATCTGTCATTAGTTCAGAAAAAAGCTGGCAGGCTGCTTTCGAGTGCTGTGCAAATCTACTGCTGGAGACACACATCAGACTGAAATAGCAAGCAGGGAGAGAGGTGAGACACTGAGCGAGGAGGAGGTTACCTGCTGCAGGGAAGTTTGGCTCAATTTAGTTTGATACAAAGATCCCACAGTGCAATATTTTGCAAGTTTATTTTGGTATTATTATTTGAAGATAAGCTCTAGAGGGGCTGAGGACAGAACTGTAACTGTGCATATGCTGAAAGGTTTCCACCTCGACACACACAGTCCATTTGTGTGCATGTGCAAACGTTTTCTTTAGGGCATATGTTATATGTACCAGAAGCGATTCTATGTGATATGTAGGCAACAGTGGAAGAATCTAGTGTTTGAGCTTACTCACAGTGGCAGCATGCATTGACATCAATGCTAGCAACAGCAGGAAAACATGCTTAGAATCTTCTTTAACCATGTTAGCATGCTTACAATGACAAATCAGCACTATACACAGAGTACATCGCTGTACATCTGGACATAACCTTTTACACCTATACAGGAAAGGGAGAACCCCAAAAAGCATAATAGGGCCTCTTTGTCTGAAATCCAGATTGTTTTTAATTATCATTATCATCTTAAAACCAAATATACATTCTAGTCATTTTAGAGAAAGGTAGTTATCAACATAACCATAGTTTACAAGAGTGAAAATAGAAAACATATTGCTTTGAATGGTTTACTAAGTAATGTGGTGCCTTCAGGGTAGCGATAAGAATACGACAGCTAGATTTAACTTTAAGTTAAGCTGTGGGAGTATGAACATTGTAAACTGCCTGCATTTGAGCCGAGCAACCTAAAGGGGATGTAAGAGGGAGATGGTTGTAGATAAACAGAGTGGGATGATTTAACCTCCATTACTGATTGTGCATTCAGAACTTGTAGAGGCAGTGGCACCGAAGTTATGACTCGAGAGATTCAGCAACTGCCCTGCAAGTAATAGTGCCTCAGTTAAATAGACCTTGACTTTATTGTAAATTGTTCCCTTTTCTCATCTCGTGTTTTATCGTTTGGGAGTTGTTTACTATATTGAAAAGCCATCAGATGTGGACTGGCCTCTGTCTCTCAAGTAAGAGTTCTCAACCATAACAAAATAGAGGAAGAATAAACCTTCCTGTCAAAACTTGGATAATGTTTTTGTCAGGAAATGTAATGTGTGTCAGTGCTACGCTTATACACACATCTACAGTTCTTTCAAATGGGTTTAGGCACGTAACAGATTTGAGCAGGACAATGTGAAAATATATAAAGCAAAGTGACACATCAGCCACTAGTAACATTGAAAAAACACATGTTGGAATAGTCACCATGTATACTCCCTGTTCAATGTAATACTTCACTTCAAAAAATAATCTGTGAGGATGGTTATTTATTGTAACCCTGGTTCTATGACCACAAGATAGCCTTACAATGTGTATGTTCATGTTCGGTCAACCTGAAGAACCCCATGTAGGTTTATTGAGGGAACTATCTATAACACAGTATTTGTCTTTATCCATTACTATACAAGCTTAGTGTGAGGAGAGAAATAGATTAGGGACCGGAAAATAAGTAATGTAAAGACAAAATCATCTTTAAAAAAACGTATCTTAATAACAGCAACCAATAACTCTTTCAAAGCAAACGTGAATATACATTTGTATTAGTTTAAGACAAACTTCAAAAAAAGCTTACTGTATCCTTTACGCAATGTTTTACCATGATGCACTATTAAATAAAAATTTTAAGTTTGTATCAAGCTTTGTTGTAATTTGCTAAAATAATGAAGTATTGTTTTGGTTGTACTGCTTGAATTGCTGTTTACAACACTAAACTCCCACACAGTGAACCTGGAGCCTTCAACCTAATGACAGGCAGGAATACAACCTCATCATCAGCTAGCATGAAGTGGAACGTAAGTTAACAGATCTTGACCAAATTCACTTATCAAAAAAAGTGCATGAACATGACATGTTACTTGTTAGACGCTTTTATCCAAAGCGACTTACATAGTCAATACTGTGGACAATCCCCACAGGAGCACGTTGAGGTGAAGTGTCTCAGGGACACAACGACATGCTGACTGCAGTGGGGTTTGAACCTGTTTGGAACCCTGATCCAAACACCAACGCACAACCCACTGCACCACACGCCTCCCCGTAAACATTAGGATTATGAAGTTAAAGTAGCATATTTTAGAAAGTTGAAACATGTCACTACAATAATGTGAACAATGCAGCTTGAATCATCTTACAGAGTAAATACAAAAACAGGGAAACTCCGCAGATAAAACAGGTGGCAGTTTAGCACATTACCCTTTGATGTACTACATGTTATGTGAAATAATGTAACTGTGATATGATAGTATTAATACTATCTCTGTAATCAGAGGAGAATACAATCGTGTAATAGCTTAATCATGCATTGATAAACTATGATCAAAGGGCCCCTATTGTGCTCTCATTTTCAGGGTCATATATGTATTGTTTTCCTCTGCTGGGACATGCTTCAATGTTCAAACAAATATATATTTGTAGGGCCGAATCGTCTTACCGAACATGACATCACAGACATACATGGAAATCAATTGGCTCAACATCACAGACCTTGCCTATGTTATTTATGAGATCTCCTTTAACCATTTAAAACAATTCTACAAAAGCGCCCACCAGCAGCTCTTAATCTCGTTTGTAAGACGGTCAAGAGAGTAGCACAACCAAATGTGGTCCGCTATTCATGAACTGTGAATAGGGAGTTGAGTAGCACTTAACAACGATGGGTGAGCGGCCCACACATTGCGAGGCTACATGCACCGCCCTGCAGTACGTTGAAGTACGCTAACACACACACACACACACACATTATATACCGTGACAGATTTCGTAACTCAAAAGGTCCCTCCGAAGCCGTCACGCTTGAATTTCCAATAACTTTGTATTGCCGACTTTTAGATTTAAAGATTTCGACCTGATGAAGTCATCTTGGGTGAGAAGGAAAGCAGAGGGTTCTTCACACCTCTCTGATGATGAATCGCTGGGTAAGGGCAATCTTTTTTTGCCGCACCAATGAGGAGTGGGCAGCAAAGGTAATAGGGGTATAGGAAATAATTGAGAAAGAGCAGGTTGAGAAAGACAATAGGAAATACAAAGACAAAGGAGTTGAAGACAGACAGCAAGATGGACGGAAGAGAAAATGAAATTCACTCACTTGGAGCAAAGCCTTCTTAATTACTCTCCCCACATCCTGTCTCCACTCGGGTATGTCTGGGTTGAACTCATCCAGATTAGGGGAGAATGATAAAAGTAGAGATTTGAAGAATTCTGTTGAGGAGAGTCGAGGGAGAATCAGCCATTAATTCACTCCGATCCGGGGGCATTATTCTCAGGGAGAAGCGCCAAAACTGTCATTTCGCTCAAGTTGAGTTTCAGGTAGTTAACACTTGATGAAAAGACGAGGGTTTCTCATATCCCCTACACTTCCCTTTGGCTGGATGTACCAGATGCACTTCTAGGTAATTAGAAAATGTCACAGCTCTATGCCAGCCCATCTACTGGTAATAAATCAAAGCATTTTACAGATACTTGCTGTCGGCTACTCACTTTCGAATGAAGACATATTTTCATGGTGGCCATGGTTCTAACAGTGATGTGATATATTTGACTTAAGTAGGAGCAGTTTTATTTCAAAAACATTTTGCACACGTCAGAATATAAAGGTGTCTAACTAAAGGACTGTTTTCTGAAATATTTCCATAACACCATTTTCAGCTAGAATCTAAGAAGTACAGGCTTGTTCCATGGGATACATTTAAGAAATACTGACCTTGCACTGCTATGGTCTTGGTATCCTGCAGGATGGTGTTGGCTGCAGCCACCTGGACTGTGATGGTGTGCATCCCGTCGTTCGGGAAGGTGTGTGAGATACTCCCGTCCAATGTTATCACAGGCTGCAAGAGCAAATGGTACAGGTACAAAGTAATGTCACACTTCTCAAGCACATGGTCCATGCTTGAATCACTGGACATTGGCTATCTTGCCTTAGGCTGGTTTTCAAGGTTGACCCTAGATTCCTTATATTCATTCCATCCATCAGTGGTGCGACAAATAGGTCTAAAACTGGGATTCATTCAAGATAAATATAAAGTTTTGTTGAAGTAAGGGTGTGTTTGGAGTGCCTTGTTTTATACCCCTGTTAATGTAGAAGTAATAATAATAAAGCTTTATTTGTATGGCACTTTTCATACACAAGGTGCAGCTCAAACTGATTTAGCCACAGGGCACACTTCACGATGTAAAACAGAGAACAATAAATGCACTTCTAGTCAAACGATCAAACCTTTTTTTTAGCATGTATGCAAAAACATAATATAACAATTCAAGGAACCCAAGGAGGTCAAAAAGGTATGATAACAAAACAGTAAAAATAAAATTAGGAGAAGATGACCCTCTCAGTAAAACAAAGGAAGACGTAAGACTAAATAAAACAATAATACAATAAAATATACAAAACTATAACATGAATGAATAAAACAATAAAATAGTGATATTATAAAATCAAATAAAATGGGGATGTTGCTAATGAAAAGCTAATTGAAAACATATGTCTTCAACTGTCTTCAAAAACAACAGCTGAAGATATATTGTGTTAAAGTCAATCTGAGATTGACTTAAAGGTGACATGTCATGCTTTTCCGGTTAGTACCCGTCCCCATGTGTGTTATGAAGGTTTTTATGCATGTAAACGGTGTGCAGAGTCAAAACCCTCAAAGTACACCATGTAGCGAGTAAAACTCTAAAACAGAAAATACCTCCCCAAAACGCCTCGTTGGAGATACGTCACTGTCCATTTGATTCTTCCGGGGACATCATGATGTCATGTCGTCCCCGGAACTAAATGGACCAATCCGTGGAGCCGTTACGTTACGTCCGCGGAGCCGTTACGTTAAGCCCCCGCTGATTGGTCCAAATTGACCAATCCACGGACTTCCTCACACACTCAGTGCATGCAGCTCAGCTGATCTCTCCTCCCTGGCTGCAGGCTGATAACAGACAGTTGGGATCGCGGCGAAATTCTCTCTGCAGACCCGTTCTCTCTGCAGACCCATTCTCTCTGCAGACCCATTCTCTCTGCAGACCCATTCTCTCTGCAGACCCATTCTCTCTGCAGACCCATTCTCTCTACAGACCCATTCTCTCTGCAGACCCATTCTCTCTGCAGACCCATTCTCTCTGCAGACCCATTCTCTCTGCAGACCCATTCTCTCTACAGACCCATTCTCTCTGCAGACCCATTCTCTCTACAGACCCATTCTCTCTACAGACCCATTCTCTCTGCAGACCCATTCTCTCTGCAGACCCATTCTCTCTGCAGACCCATTCTCTCTGCAGACCCATTCTCTCTACAGACCCATTCTCTCTGCAGACCCATTCTCTCTGCAGACCCATTCTCTCTACAGACCCATTCTCTCTGCAGACCATTCTCTCTACAGACCCATTCTCTCTACAGACCATTCTCTCTGCAGACCCATTCTCTCTACAGACCCATTCTCTCTGCAGACCCATTCTCTCTGCAGACCCATTCTCTCTGCAGACCCATTCTCTCTGCAGACCCATTCTCACAGCGTTTATCAACCTTTTTCTTACTCAATATCAAGCCACACTTATTGTTTTTACTTCGGCTGTGACTTTGTGTGTGCTCAGGGTGAGTTTGGCTGTGTTTCGCTGTGTGTCGCTAAACAAGGAAACAACACCTCCACGGAGCTCAGCGCGATTCACAACCTCCCGACTGGTCCCGACCAATCGGAGCACACTGGGCTCACAGGGAGGGGGGGGGGCAAGAGCTGCAACGAGCCGTTTAGTGGAGAGAGTGAATACACGTAGTTTACAGAGATGCTGTATGCGAAACAATGTGAGTTTGGAAAATTGCACAGTATAAATCTATTCTAGTAGACATCAACAATGGAATTATGATCAGTGGAAATGGCCATGACATGTGACCTTTAAATTGAAGTATTATGGGATTAAAGAGATTAAAAATACTGCATTTTAGACATGCTAGAATCATAGCATGTCATTGGTGGAGTGAAACTTTCACTTCCGGACTATACCATGTTCGCACATGAGGTCCAATATCCAATGTCCAATACTTTGGTTTATATCTTAATTCCGGCATAAATAATATAATTCACATTATACTATGATGTACTTTTTGCTAATTTATATTGTGCTTTTTTTTTACATCCTAAACTAATAATCATAAACAAAGTCAGATGCAGAGGGAGCCACAAAGGCGCATGCTTGCTGTTTAAAAGCAGCTTAAGTCAAGAGTGCTGTTATGGAAGAAGTACCTCAGTATTGTTGCCAAACCACCAGAAGTAAGTAACAGTGCGTGAGTGGCTGGGCAGGGCCACTGCTGTGATGTTCACCTCCTTGTTCTTTATGACTACAAAGGGAGTGAGAAGATGGATGTGCTCCACTGGACCTGAGAGAAAAAGAAAGAAAGACATAAAGACAGTGTTTTAGAAACACTTTTTGTTTTATATGCTCTTAATGTATTGCATAAGGAAACAACAAGATTTGTTGTGCAACCCCGTGATGTACAATAACATAATCAAATCTTCAAACCAGCTTTCTGTGAGTTGTCTCAAAACCCCCTGTTGATCTCATCCAAACATCTCGGCATCTCAACACTCACAATCCTACCTGCAGATTGGTATAATTGTCATCAACAGATGCAAAACGAGACTTCATTTGATAACAATGATGGTACAACCCCCAGTTTTATTCCAAACTGTCACTAAACCCAGAAATATAAATTGTATAGATATGTAAACAAATCTGCGATGCGGGCTCTGATAGCTCTATGCTATTTTTGTTGAATCTTTTTTTATTTGCTGTGGCAATGATCTTTTCCTAACGTGAAGTCTTATGTTGCCTTGTGAAAACAATTAATATTATTGTGCTTCAGCACAAATAAACATTCAGTAGGAGCTTTTGCAGTTATGCTAATTAAATTAAATGTCTTTATTAGGTTGATAAATGGTAACCCAGGCTTTCTACCTTCCTATTATAATATGCTTGCTGGGGCAATTTAGTCATTTATAATCCTTGTTTCTGGAGACATCATGGTCATTTCAGTCCTTTTATTTATAGGCCTGCCGAGCAGCAAATGCATACCTTGGAACTGATCCCTACATGTTTCGCTTGGGCCAATTGAAATGAAGAGGTTTTTGACTGACATGTATAAAGTGATGACAGATTAAAAATGCCAATTTATAAGGTGCTTGAATATCTGTGACTATGGCAGTGGCAACTAAAAATAAGTCTCTTTCGTAGACTGAAAATATGTTGACACCATCATGTATTTTCGACATGATACCTTTAGGATAATTCTGCAACCCACCCCCCACTAAGAAGCTAATAGGACCTGACAGGGGTCTAGGTTGCTTTACACTAATCTCAGGGATAAAGTTGCCTGCCACGGAGTGATGAAATACACTACTTTAGTGGAAAACTCAAACGAAACGTTTGTGTAGTGCTGTGGTCTGAGGCGTTCGTCTCGCCAAGGCTTCTGTTAGCTCTCATCCTCTTTAACCAGAACTAATCTTTATCCCCACTTGGAGATGCTCAGTGTTTGTGTTTGTGTGTGAGTCTGTGTGTATGGGAAAAAGAAGGAGAGAGTCATTTTGTATTAAATATGCTCAGCCAAGAAATATTGTAGTATTTTTGTCTTTCCCCAACTAAAATAATAGCCACAAGAACTGAATACGGACCACACTGGCAGACACATGGATGGCAAGAAGTTACATTTAAATGGATTGAACAAAATCAATAATGGAGCAACTAACAAGACAAAAAAACAATATGAAGGAGTTTCTATAGTTCTCTTGGAGACCTAAAATGAAACACTACTACACTATTATGATGATAGGCTATGTAATTGCTGTCTGGATGGAGAAGGAAATGATGATCCTGGAATTTGTATTCTGCTGTGTTAAAAATGAGCCATTATTTTGGAGTTGTAACTTCAGATAACTGGCAATTAGCTGCAGTAGCCTTACAGGCCAACTTCTCATTCTCTAAACACAGTGAAACCTGAATTTTCTCCTCAAAATTGTTTGTGTTTATAACAGATGCTATAACACATTATCCTGTGTAGAGGTCAGTGCAGTTCACTTTAGATGAGGTTAGCATGGATTAACAGTTTCATTCAGTGGAACACAACATATTTGAGCAACTCAAGCTATGCAACAGTACATTTATAAATAAAACAAGAGACAACCTTTTGATGCTATGACACCTGCTAAAACGCCATATTGGGGTTGCGTAAAGCGCGATCATTTTGATCTCACCTACATTGAAAACAAGAACTAAGCCTAATGTTCTGATGGCCCAATTATTTTTCAAACAACTGCAAAAAACATTTCAAACATAGATTGAGTAAAACTATAACAACAAAAGATTAAAAGAAGAAATATAATTGTATCACTTGGCTACGGGTTTAGGAGAGGGTTAGGTTAATTGAGCTGAAAATAATACATTTGGCATTTGAAATACTACATTCATTTAAGTAAAATATCTTAGTACTTCTTTCACCTCAGTCTGCAGGTAGTGCTTTAAGGTTGCATACATTCTTATCTGGGTAAAAGGTTAAAAATCATACCAATGAGCAGCTTTAGCCTGTATGTAGCCTGAGAATGGATACCAAGGGGAACCCCTTGCTACTGCCAACTCAAAACGTTTAAATCACAGCCATTTCCAGTCACTACGGTGTTCACCAGAGCTCTCTCCTGGGGCCTCTTCTTTTCATCATCTATCTACTTCCTCTTGCCTATATCTTTTACGTAAATTCAACATTCACTTTCATTGCTACGCGGATGACACCCAGCTCTATTCGTCTTCCAAAACCACCTTACAGGAAATCAAATACTGGTTCTCCTACAACTTCCTTAAATGTAATATGATAAAACCGAGGTTCTCCTCATTGGCAACAAATCCACACTAAGCAAACCTGACGGTTTCTCCATTTCCATCGACAACTCCTCGGTCTCAACCTTCCCTCAGGATAAGAGTCTAGGTGTCATCCTCGACAGCACACTTTCCTTCAAAACCCCCATCAGTAATATAATTCAATATACCGGTACGTAACATTATCCGCCTCCCCCCGTTTTGTTTTTGTATCCTGTACGACCTTGAGAGTCTTAAAGGCGCCTATATTAATAAAATATTATTATTATTAAGGGACTTTAAAAGTGTTTTTAAATAACAAAATGTAAATCAACTTATAGGGAAGACTTTAACTTGAAACGACAGCACTTACATATGACATGCAGGTAGAGGGTTGTGGTGTCGTAACCCAGCGTGTTCTCTGCCAGAGCTGTGACACGGAATATTCCCGCTGACTTGTAGACGTGTTTGATCCCCTCCTCAGTCCAGCTCAGGTTGGAGTATGACACTGCTGTGCCATCGCCGAAATCCAGCTGGATGTTGGTGCGAATAGAGTCACCCTGAAATACAGCACAGCAGGACTTCAGTCATATACAAAACGCTACGAGCGACAACACTCAGCACATATAACCAACACAATCATTGTGTGGATGCTTCGACAAGGGAGTGTGATACTGAGTGGAAAACTAGCAAAAGAAGAAGAAGATGAACCTTTATTAACTCCCCTAGGGGGAAATTCAGTTTCCCACTCTGTTTTGAATACACACAAAGTACAAAATACACACAGGTATAGAGATGCATGCATGCACATGGAAAGGTGCCAGAGCGAAGAGGCAGCCAGTCGGTTCAGCGCAAGGGAGCAGTTGGGAGTTCGGTACCTTGCTCAAGGGCACCTCGGCAGTATTCAGGAGGTGAACTGGCACCTCTCCAGCTAACAGTCCACACACTATTATTGCAAGCTCTTCCAGAATACAGCAGTTCGACTGGTCCTTAAACTCCCCAAGTTTTCCCCAACTACACCACTCATCTGCTCCCTTCGCTGGCTACCGGAGATTGTCTGAATCCACTTCAAGATACTGGTACTGGCCTATGTACTTCAAGGGTTTATGCTCATTCGAAGCTAATCCACCATCACTTAAAACGTTTTGGCTTATTTGAAGCCAATGTACTTGCACGTTGTTCTGAGTTTGTATCTTCAGAGTTTATTGCACCAACATAATTCACTTTGGTTAAAAGCTTCAGTAAAATGAAATGTAATGTAAAGAAAATAAGCAGAGCTTCAGTAAACATATTAGGCATAACATCACACCCTCTATACAAGGCTTCCCAGTCATAAATTCAAACTCTAGGTGAGTGCACATACGTGTAAGCAGAAGTTTGGTTATCAGAAGCATAGGCTTAATGTAGCTTCTGAAAGTTCCTGTAAACACGGTCCAGAGTATTTTCCTGGTGGGGTTGTAGCTACGCTAGGAATTAAGGTAAAAGAGTCGGATTAAACAGCTCAAAATACACACTAAGGCAAATATGCTTTCCAAGTGGATACCACCTGTAAGCTTTCAGTCTGGGCCATAAGCAGCTACAATCAATATTTTCTTACAATACCAATGCAACAAAAAAAGTATTGATAAGAGGAAGTGAGAGTGAAAAAAACAAGCTGGTGAACATAGTGAAGACACTTGCAGTCGAAAAGCCAGATATTTCCATCAGAAGTTGGTAGAGACCAAAGAAAGAACTAAAAGAGTCTACTTATATTTATCAGGTAACAACAAACTTGACCTGCATTAATACAAGTGTTGCTAAGTATCAGCTAGACGTCTAAAGAAGCAACTGTTCCCTATTTTAGTTATCAATCTAAAAGGTTACGAGCTTTTTCTAATCCAATCAGTCCATTCAATCCAATATCATCTTTCACACCCCATCAAATAGAATAGAACCTTTGCTATAAACTCAGATCAATTCAAATCAAACCTTCACCTCATCAAGCCAGTTATAGAAATAGGTCTTATCCTTGCAGCGGTTATACCCAGTCTGTGATTTACCTTAATTGAAAATGTTTGAACCAAATACCTTAATACTAATCAAGCTTGTAAATGTACACAATATGGTACAAAGCACTATGTGATTGATGAAATTGACATGAACAAATGTCTACATAGATATGTTGCTATTTCAGGAATACACACAGCCACCTTTATATTTTTTTGGTAGCTGACCACATTCATACATTTCAATATTACCAGGACCAACACAAATTGACACATTTTCACAATTAATTGTATTTTGAAAAGCAAAAACTATGCTTTGTAAACAATCTTGGTAAGAGTGATTAAGAGAGAGCAAAAATGTTTACCCAAAGATATCATAAAGTAGATGTAATCACTGCAACTTAAAACTACTGTATTCCTCTCAGATGGATAAACACAAAGTTGCGCACAAGAACAGTTGGTTGAGAAACTATTTTTTTGTAAGACTAAAACAGGCAGTGATAGATGGACCGCTTAGTTTTGACATGAAAATCATGTCTTAGAAGTTATCTGCACAAATTCCATTACATCCATGCACACACAAACTTCGTCTTTGTAACACCTAGCACATGTAATAAGTGGACACATGTTCTTTTCTAGTTTATATTTTTCTTTTAAATTGCAAGCTGGCAATTACTAGCTTTTTATAAATGCACGTTCACTTTCATTACTTTTAAAGTAATACTATGATTACAATGCTTAGATACAATTACACAGTAAGGTAATTATAGTTATTTCAATCACTCCTCCTTTCTGCCCGAAAGTACTTATATATATTGTCTTGCGTGGAATTATTGCTGGTGGTATTAAAAGATGTGTCTTAGAACACAGGCTTCCAAACAGGCGTTGAGGCCATTTTGTTGTACTAATTCGAAGAACAAAAAGTGTTATAAACAATCAATTAAATTGTGAGAATGTTGGAACGTTTTCCATATCCAGATTTGTTTTGGTAGTATGTAGAAAGGTAGTTTTGTCAGTTAGAGTGTTCACATGTGGATCTGTGTATACAGGCACCCCCACCCCACCATGTTTGTCTTTTCATGGTGTGTGATTCTTCAGCTGCCTGCGCGGCTTCCTCTGGGAATCACATCTGGCGCTATCCGAGGATCAACACACATCGCGAGTGTCGGTGGCTCCAGCTGCCACTGCGACCAAATCTGCACTCACTCCCCTCCAGGCCTGTGAAGATAAACTCCCAGCCTCCCCTTGGCACATTGTAGCGCATCGCTACAGGGGATCATCATTTGTAACGCCGCATTTGCATGCCCGGTTCACCAAAAAACGCACAATAAAAGAATACAAATACATCTTTTGTTCGTTTTCTCCTTCTTGCTCCTGCCATCCCTGGCTACCTGAGTCCTTTCTTTGTGTGTATCCGAGTGTGACATCACGGAGGGTTTAGCTGAAGCTTCTGGGGATATTTCATGTCACTCTGGCTGGAAAATTATATCTTTGATAAGTGGTTGGAGAGAATAGAGAACAGCTAAGAACCTGGTCTGACAACCCGACCATTGTTGGGAGCTGTAATGAGCTGGCATGCTCGGTGGCACCGTTGTCACTCAGCTCTACTTGGGTGTCTGCTGTCCATTCTGCAATTCCCTTTTGCTCTCTGTTTCAGCCACAATGGGATTCACTTATCTGCATGGGGCTGATGCTGACCTGTCTCTCTAAATGTCACTCTTTGTGTTCATGGATCTCCCAGAGTGGAACAGATCCAAACATCATGTCTGGAGCTTTGCGACTGGGACAATCGGTGTTTGGAAACATACAATGAAATCAGTGTTGTACGGGCTGACACGGGTGGTATACACAGGGCGAGTTTTTGTTCAGGTGCATGTCAAACCAGACACCCCAAAATCAACGTGATGGGTGACAAGGCAGTTGGGAATTATTCTGGAAAGGCATCTTGGTTGTTTCCTCGGTAGACAGAGCTAGTTTCCTACAGTGAGGGTTACTGTTTGCACTGTAATAAAATAGGTAACCCTAACCCAGTTGTTAATAACATGTTTAGGATAGATTGCTTTCAAAAAAAGTTAAAGGGGGAGAAAATAAAATGTGTCTTTGGAATTAAGGTAACATCTAAAATGTCTAACCACGGTTGTGAAATGGCTGAAAGAAAAAAAGATATTTGTACAATAAAACCTTTCTGAAAAAAAATCACAATTGTTTTTTTTTATTCAACAATTGAGAAATAAACTAATATGAATGTAACATAAAACAATATTTTTTCAAATGTAGTATATGTATGTTTTCCCCCTTTGTTTGAACTAGCGTTGCAGTTGGTGATAGAATGTATGTACAGTATGTAAACCTTTTCGATTTGAATGTTATTCGCTTTGTTCACATTGTGCTGCTTTGTTGTCGGAGTATGTGCTCACACAGTATACATTGTGTCTTGGGAAGCAGTGGCTCTTTGGATTTCTTCCTGATCCATTTTGTGGCCAGAGACACATGGCAAATAACTGCCAAACATAACAACCAATTAATTGCTAACATACTGCCATAACTATTTTAAGAGGTAATTTATTTACTGTATGTATGTAAATATGTTAGCCAAGTGGCGAAAAATATAATGGAAAATATAAACAAATGCAGATTTAAATATTACATTTCGACAGCTTTCAATTGAAGCATACACTTGACTTTCTTTTACTTACTGGGACTATTGCATGAATGGAAAATCTCTTCTGTCAAACATAAAAGGAAGTATACTGCCTATGCCTCCTGGGAAATACTGTGTTTCCCTATTAACTAATTATTGCCAATCGCCAAACAAGTCAGAATGAATCTAAAATGATGACAAGACAGTTTGAAAATGAGCAGTACAGTTCATATTTTAGGTTTTTGGAAATCTCAGTAGTTGAGTCTGTCATCTTCCATCACGATGATGATCACAACACACCAGCGGGAGATTCCATCTAGCTTTTCCACTGGGGCAGAAATAAGTTTCACAGAAAGATAACATGAGCAAGAACAACTGTGGACATTTTTTTCACAAATGTGACTACAGTTTGAAACCAAGAAGAGGCTGATAACAATATGAGTGAATCCAACTACTGTGCGCAACTTTTAAACTTCTACCCCATTTGGTGATTACTGAAGTGGGAAAGCTGTGTAATGTAGAGATGGCCACACAAAAGGTGACTACAATTAGACAATTCAATGCTTAAAAGCATATCCTGTCAATTTGTATTACCTTAAGGGAACAATTAAAAATGATTATTAAACCTTAAATAACTGCACAAAAAATGTCCTGAAATAATGTTTCTAGAAATCAAAACGAATGTGTTCCTGATGAAAGTAGGAAAACAAAGCTCTCACCATTGTCCACTCTCCAACTCAAGCGCTGAGCAGGCAAAGCTATACTGATTTAGGAAGTGCCAGCTAAAGTGATGCCAAATCTGATTCATGACAATACTGAACCAAGAGAGACGCCGGTGACAATTCTGTGTTACTATCTGATCTGTGATCTGTTGCAGGGACCTACGGTCTGTCATACTCCAACGGAAAACAATCAGGATCTGGTTTTGACCAGAAAATGTCTATATTTATACTCCGATGGACTGATTTAGATGAGTTGTGGGTCTATTTGTAAGATTTTAGTTCATTTGGATTGGACAGATTGTTTATTTATTTGAAAAATAATTGTTCACAGGCAACCATTTGAATTGTGTGCTCTCTATATCCAATGGTCGCAACACTACTCATGGTAATCAAAATCAGCCCATAGAAAGTATAAATATGGCCACTGCAATTTTTGTATCCTGATAATGTCAGAAATGGACTCAGCATCTTCAATAATCCCCAAAACCACTCAAAAATGTTCCCAATCGGCCAAGTCATTTATTTATTATTATTTACATAATGCCATTAATTTCAATGAACACTACTTATATAATTGTGCAAATTGCCCAACATATGCAAGTTAGTATTGGGCAGTTTCTATGTGCTGGGGACCCGTTCTATACATTTGTAACATAACACTTTGGTGTACTCAACATTTACGGGTTCACTAAGCTAATGTCACCAACGTCATGTCTGCAGACTGCCTCATTATGTCCTAACCTTTCAAAGTCCTTATTTGTATGTGTAAATATGTGTAGGCTTGCTGGTCTAATTATGAATCTGCAATTAAAAAGCACCATGAGAGTCAGCTATTACATCTGCCTCACTGAGAGGGACGTGTCTTCAGCCCATGTAAAAGTCTTTAAAGAGGCCGTATTATGCTTTAAGGGGTCTTCCCTTCTCTGTAGTGTTAGGTACGTTGTTGTGCATGTAAATGGTCTGCAAATGCTAAAATCACAAAGCTCCCTCCAAAGGGGGGTTTCTCTCCCACACACCCCCACCCCTGCTTGAAACACCTCCATTAGACTTCTTGTAACATAATGACATCACTATGTAACACTTGCCCTTCTATTGGCCAACACATTTTATTTACACTAAGGGGCTGGACATTTCCAAGTGGAGGACCCATAACAACAAAGCCGGGTAACTAACCAACCAGAGCAGACTGATACAAATACAAATACGTAGCTGTAGGCCTATGTGTGTGTAAAGAATGCTCTTATGAAATATGAAACATATAGTTGCTGAACTAGTGGTTGAGCAACCTCCCAGTTGAATGGGACCAACCTCTATGGGGAATCAAAATGTGTAAATGTGGCTCTGATAGTAACCCATGTCAATGATCCATTGCACTTCCTTATGTAAACAATAGTGTATGGGGAATTCTCATGCGCCACAGAAATAAAGTGTACCTTGCAAACGTGCAGTTATTTGTGTACAGTGTAGGTCTTGTTTCAACAATAAGGGGGACACATGTTATGCTGCTTCTTCTGATGTTTTACCATGAAAATGAATTGTGGAAATGTCTTGATTCAAGTGAAACAAACTGAATTCAGGCGGCAGGAGTCAACACAAATAATATAAAGGATTACAATGCAGTTAGGCTATCAGGCATTCTGTATTGATTTAGAATATGTATTCTCCTGTTCTCATTGAATATTATCCAGGCATTTTTTTGTATTCCCTCCTCTTTTGTTTCTTTTGCTTGAGAAAATAAACTCTTTAAACGTGCATGGAGCACTGATTCACATGCATGAAGACTCATTTAGTGTACATACCCCTTGATATTCATTGTGCACGTATTTGTATGAATGTTGCGACGTAGTCATTTGAATGTTAAAGGTGGGGTAGGTAAGTTTCAGAAACCGGCTCGAGTGCACTAAAATTTGAAAGTCCACAGCCGAAAAGAATCCGCCCCTTCCTTCAGACTTCCTTACAGAGCACCTCCTGCAACACACATGAACGCGCACATGACGTCAGCAGACTGGTGAAAGTGGCCGCCTGTTGCTGGCGAGTCATTGAAGTACTGCTGCAATGCACGCCCAATGACGGCACGCCCAATGAGGGCACGAGATACATTTGTGCGTGCACGAGATGGAAGGCTGACAGACAGGGCGGCAATCCAATCCAATAAAAAATCCAATAAAAAGTACAACCAATCCGTTTAGCCGGGCCGGCTAAACGGATTGGTTGTACTTTTTACAGTATTACGGCTTCCACAGATGACATTTTTTTATGGATTTTTTGTCAAAGCACTTCAGATATTCATTGCTATCGGGATGTTAAGAGCATTCCATGGAATACAACAAAAAGTGTATCTCGAGCCGGTTTCTGAAACTTACCTACCCCACCTTTAAGCAAATATCAGCTCATCTACTTCAGGCATGCTATTTTGAAAATGCTATTTTCTTACTGTAGACATTCTCTTTCTCCCACCACACTCTCATACATTCATACTGTGAACCCTAAACCATTTCAAATGGCAGTGAGGAAAATAAAGTGTCTCAAACTCCCTGTGTCTCTTTCCTTTGAAGCCAAATATAGAACGGCATTTTAATTCTTCATGAATTGGTTGATGTCATTCAAGCCAATCACTTCTCTGCCTATCTCTTAGTGAAGTCAGTCACTTTCACAGAGCCCATCTGAAGCTGTAATTATTGTGTTGCAAAACAGGTTCTTCAACCAATACAAAGGCAGTTCTAACCAGGCAAATGTACCGTACGTGCTCATCTTATCATATCCCAAACATCACAAAACTTCTTTTTTTTTGTTTTTCATCCTTGTTTGTGCACCACCCAGTCTTTTATCAAATATTTAAAGGCATTTGCTCTCTCGAAGAATTACAGCCATTGCGGGCTTCATGAATATAAATTCAACTTTGAATTCATCTCGAGAATTTTCTCAAATAGAGTTAATGCCACAAGGATCCGTTACCCTGTTATCCTCTTTTTGTATCACTCCGTTCTTTCACCCACCTCCCTCTGTCCCTTCATCCATCTCTTAATAATTAAAGAAAGTGCCCTCGATTCCTAGACTCATCACACGGCCATATGACAACTGGGTCTGGACAAGTGTGGGGGGACACCTATCACCTCGAGCTGTTGCAGTGTCAGGAGAACACTTCTGTTACTGTTACTGTTACTTCTGCCCCACACCCTGCAGTTTGTTCCACTGCACGGTGTGGCTCTACTCGACCGACCTTTTTTTGGTTTACCATTCGGAAAAGATGTGTGGTTTTAGTTTTTTTGGCTCTCAGCAATTAAATGGTGACATTAAAACAGAGACAATTGTCACTAGTGCTTCCATGGAAATCATGCACATGCCCAGCGGTTTTAAATGAAAAACAACCATTAACAGTGAGCATTTTTCTCTCGCCAGTCGCTCCTTCTCTTTAGCTGTTTTCATTTATTTGTGTTTCCTTTTTCTTTTCTGTACTGGGGAAAGCTTTGCCAATTTCAATCCAAAGCCTTGTGCTTTCCACATTTATATAACAAATAATATGTTCTGAAAGTATTCCATGTTGTTTTGTGACACTTAAATTGACCGGACTTCTTTCTGCAGGTTGATATGAGTGAACATGCAGCCACTTGAACAGAGGGTCCTTAGCAATAGTCTGCTATCCTAAGAAGTCATTTGCTTTCAAATAAGAACATACCACTCAACGTCTGAAATTACGAATCAGAATAATTCAAAGATTATTCAAATAAGCCGTATCTTAAAATAAAATAATGTCAGACAGCCTTAAAGATGACGAAGTGCAGTGTTAGTTTTTTGGTTGAAAGGTTTCAGTCTTTCTTTTGTGTTTTTGTGCGATTCAAACTGGGTCCCACGTGGTACCAAAGGTAAGTTGAGTTGAGTCCAGTTGAGTTGAGTATAGCCGCACCATGGTGAAAATGGGCTTTCCTGACCAGGATGTCTGAACGACCTGCCTCAGAAACCTCTCTATTACCAACAGGGCCTCAGGAAAGGATAACTTCTGTAAATACTGGACTTGTACTTAACCTCGTCGAGTTTAGAACAAGGTCATTCCCACAGACAGAAACTCAACTTTTTTTCTAAACAGTTTCAGGGCTTGAAAAAAAAGTGTATGCCCCACCTGACTCTGTAGATCCCTTCTAAAGAACATTCTAGCTTATTTAAGGTCATTCTTTTAGTTCTACACACCACAACTGTACTGATTTGGTCTCAAAGCCTTGGTAGATGGCTGTTTTTAGCCAAAAAAACGTGAATGTATTTCAGCTTCTTGTTTCTGTTCATCCTGCAATGCTACAATTTACAAAAATGTGTATTACACATTAGGCTGCCAGAAAGACAACTTGAAAATGAATTGATGAAATGTAGAACACATATATTTACATGTATTTAAAAAAATATCTATATGCCGCTTTTTTGTTAAACCAACTACAAAACTCTAAACTAATAGCTAGTGAAGAAGCCATGCTGGTTGTGTTCTCACCTCATCCAGGTGGACCAGGAAGGTGACGTTGCTTCCCAGGTTGGCGGTGAGTTTTCCGTCTCTGCTGGTTACCAAGAGTCCTTTGGGAGGTCTGTTGGGGCACTGCTGCTTCCTGGCCGTGTACATCTCTTTAACTCCTTTGGTGCAGTTGTTCAACACCACTTTACGGTACCTTAGAAGAGATGTTTTTAAAAAAGGAAATTCCGAAGGTTGCTTAAAAATTACTGCCTTTAGTACTTTTCTAGTTTAATCTAAGAGTGTCTTTGGTTTTAAAATGAATACCAAATGTAACATAAGCTTGTGATTTAGAGATGATGTTGAACTAACTGTGAGTACAGCTGCTGCCTCTTCTTTGCCGTACTTAGTTCCCAGCACTTAGTTCCCAGCACTTAGTTCCCAGCACTTAGTTCCCCCATGGAACTAAAGAGCAGATCGCGTTCACACCGGAATAAGTCCCTGAGTGAAGATTACGCAAATGAAGCCGCTGACGTCACTTTTTCTTCTTCTGCTTTGGGTTTACTGGCAGGCCGCAAACAACTTCACGGCGTAAAGAGTGGCGAAGTACCTCCCTTTCCGGTGGACCTCCATGGGACCTTATTTTGGAAAAAGTATGTATTGAAGTCAATGGAGAGAGAAAGATTATCTTTCGATCCCGTTTGAATTGTGCCACGAATTACACATATGATGTTTGTCAATTTAAAAGATAATTTTGCAAGTCAAAACTCTAAAAATGTGTCGTGAAGTAACATTTTTTTGTGTGTGAAACCGCTCAATGAACTACCTCTCCCGTCTCGCACCACACACCAAGACGGCCGTCACGTTGGAACATTTCACTTCTTTCTTTCAGAATGAGGTGAAAAGTATTAAAAGAGAGCTGTACATACACACAAGGGGAGTTAGTCGGTTCCGTAAGAGCCAGCATGCGGGACCGGGATTCTGGGATTTGTAGTCTTTCTAAAGTAGTTGCATATTTTTCATAGTCTTATATTTCAACAGTTTTACGACAAACTGTGACTTTTTTTAATAATGGAAATTATTATTTAAGATTGACAAACATCATATGTGTAATTCGTGGCACAATTCAAACGCGATCGAAAGATACGTTTTCTCTCCCCATTGACTTCAATACATACTTTTTCTGAAATAAGGTCCCATGGAGGTCCCCGGAAGGGGAGGGACTTCGCCTCTCTATACTGCCACCCGAAGTCCCCAACTCCGGGGACTTCCGGCCAGAACGCCGACACCTCCTCATCATTACATTACATTACATTACATTGCATTTAGCTGACGCTTTTATCCAAAGCGACTTACAATAAGTGCATTCGACCAGGAAGACACAACCTTGAAGAAAACAGAATCATATAAGTACATCAGGTTTCATAGAGCCAAACATTTCAAGTGCTACTCAACTGGCTTTAGGTAAGCCAGTCCTTTATTAGTATAAAAGTGCTTCGTTCTAACGCTTGAAGTGTAGTCGAAAGATCATCACTCCACCGTTCCCATGTTTTTTTTTGTGTTGCCATAAGTTAGTCTCTCTCCGTTGATGCTGGGCTAATGCTAATGCTAATAATGCTAATGCCAGCAAATACAATGGAGGCTTCACAAAACTTTTCAGAGTTTTACGGGTCGTGGTTTGCAATTCGCCCAGCCAATAGAAATTGGAATTTGTTTTCCCCCAGGAAAGTACCTGAATGTTTCAGGGACTGAAAAGGGGGGGAAAAGTTCTTATGAACTAAGTTCTTTTTTTGGTGTGAACGCAAAATCCCAGGTACTATCGGAACTAAAAGAGAAAAGTGCGGGGAAAAGTACTCCGGTGTGAAAGCGCCTAATAGATTTCAACAACACAAGCTGTGTCAAAGGCTGAGACGCCATGTCATACTTAATTACAGCACTAGTAAATAAAACACTCACATTGTGATTAGGCTTTGCAAACCAACACCATGTTGAAAACACTGGATTATGTAATAACTACATTTTTAACTACATTGTGTAATATAACCAGATTATGTAATCACTAGACCTGTAACTTCGAAGATGATATTTGTAATATGGTCTTGATTCTGCTTTAATAAGAGACTCCTCTTATGCCAGGGGCACCACAGGTCCTAGAGGTCTAACATAATATTTGGGTATTCTATAATTAAGCCTAATTGTAAAACAATACCACATGTACAGATGAATACATTCATTTTGATCGAACATGAAATAATGTATGTTTTTTTACATTTTCATAAATGGTGTAACCGTTACCCTCCCCACCCCCACCATACCATTGGATTAGCTATGAGTGGGAGAAGCGGTGATTGGAGGAGACGATAACATAAAATAATTATATTCTGAAAGCTAACAGTCGTTGAAAATCCAACCCAAAATGACCATAACACATAACAGTTTTTGACATAAATGCATGTGTCAGAATGCGCCACTGAGAAATCCTACTGATTACCATAGTAATCACAAGTGTACATTTATTTAAAAAATATGTGGAAATGTATTAACTGTTGTTTATTACAAAATGCTGCACATTATAAGGTCAAAGCACTTAAATCATAAAAGTGGTATTGGTGACCTCATGTAAATCTCTTTCAATCTCTTTGGCTGATATTCATTCAGACTAGGGTTCGGCAAATACCTATGGGGGTATGCAATATAGCATCATGTAGAGTGAGATGATCAAAAAGCATGCAAGACAATATTATTCTCTTAAATGTAGTAATTGTACAATGATTGAATATAGTTGTTATATGTTTTAGCCAGCCCGTTAAATCCATATTGTAAGGAGATGCTTTTTGCGAGATCGCATTCCAATTCTAATCTGTAACGGTATCGGCTTTAAAACCCTGCTTCGCAAACAGATGTGTTTCGTGCTGATAATGAATGTATGTTACATTATGCATAGATCAAACAGTCCTCACCCGGTGCTGTTGAAGTAGTTCTGACCCTGGCTGCAGCTCCTGGACACGGTGGAGGGGTTGAACCAGAAGGCAGGCCGGCAGTTCCCGTCTCCACGGCGCTCATATCCATAATCACTGTTGGACAACAAAGCACAGCCACACAGCACAGATCAATATCAGCAGGTGAGAGCGGACATATTGTCATACGGTGTGTTCCACATCCAAGTCTTATCTATCTCTTTATAATGGGGACCAGTTCCGGGCTGTCTGGCACCATTATTACATATTGATTAAGGCCAGAGTTGACAAATGTGCCACAGCAATGTGAAGAAAGTGAGCATGGATACACACCCTGGAGGGGTGGTGGTAGTGGGGAGTTGTAACCATACACAGGCTGACTGACTCTCACTTGCCCGCTAGTGTTTCCAATCAGAAAAAGGATTTACATCAAACAAAGCAAGGTAAGCAAGTGTCCGTTCTAATAATGGCTGTGACATTGATTCATCAATTAATTACCAAGCCAGAAGAAATAAACAAATCAAAAGCCATTGGCTGACTCGTCTAGTTTGTCTGTGATTACGACAGTGTGAACTCCTCATTAGCAAGCTGTCAAGGCTGATTGGCTGTGCAGGTGCACATGGCCTTAGAGGTGATCTGGGTAAAAACAGTCAATGTATAGCATGGCACGAGGTTGTGATTGGCTAAATTCATTGCATCTTGCAATATCAGAATAGAGTTTACACATACAAGGAATTTGCTTTGGTGTCTGGTGGTGTAAACATAACAACCAAGAAAAAAGGTTCCAATAGTAGGTAAAACATGTAACGACATTCTATAGTATTTTTAAGAAACGATTTAGCATTAAAATAGATTAAAGACAAGTATTGACACCAAATTAAAATATAACTTTAAAAGCTAAACAACTAAACCACTTAGCACAATGAATATATGACAATATATTGCAAACTAAAGTGTATTATGTGGAGGGCTGTGCAGACATGTGTGCCGAAATGTGGGTGATGTGGGGAAAAAGGGTCATTGGACATATTTTGACATAATATTTAAGTTTCTGTTTGTAGAAGAACATGTGACAAATGGTCTCTGGCCTGATTCACACTCGGGTAATCTGCATGTAGACCAAGGGACATGGCCACTAGAAGGAAATCCATTTTACATTAAACTCTTGGAAAGTAGAAATGTTAACTTAAAATGCCACTAATAAAATAATAGATTGTAAATAGTTTTATGATTTTATAAATGAAAACCCACTAGAATAACACACCGGAATATGCAGCTGGTGTAGAATATCAAATAACATTTACACTGTGCTATATTATGATTAGTATTCAAAAAGTATAGAGGTTTAAAAGCCAGCTTTAATCTTTGGTGAATCAGCCTCTTGTACTGCAGAAAATGATATAATTGTGCTATTTGCCGGTGGCTCTCTGTCTTACATAGCACCATTATTTCATATGGAGCTAATGAGTTTCTACTTTAGCTGATTATGTGGCAGACTCTTCACACCTCAAATTATGTTAAATGATTCAAGCTTTTTTTGGCACTAATGATTTATAAAATCCTCATTTTTGAATTTTAAGAATGCGTCAAATAATTCCCAGCAGAAGGAGACAAGGACCAAATCAGACTTAGTCACACACAGAACATAAAACTAGCTTTAGTTCATTTGGAAGCATTTGGCATACTACAAACACTAACTGCTGTATGTTTGGATGCCTTCTTTTTTGTTTTTCTGTCATTACAAGATAAAAATTACAACCGTTTACGATTCGCATACAAATTGAATTGAGTATTTCCACCCACGCTATCATCTCAACATAATTACAAGCATAGCGAGCTCACAGAGACAGACAGCACGAGCAAATTGTGCAAAACCATCCCAAACGTATCAGATTATTGGAAAACACAGCAAATGGAGTAAATTAATGAGACACAGGAATAGCATATGCAATGGATTAGGAACTCCTTGCCCCCCCCCCCCCCACAAGGTTGCATCCTTCACTTGATACACCTGTCTTATTGTTTTTATAAATGTATTTTACCTTAATCAACACAGTCCAATGCTCTGCTTAAGAAATACACCTGCAGTACTTTTACAAGAGCTATTAAAGAGGAAATATTATGCATATGTTCAGGTGTCATATTTGTATACTGTGACACGTCTCCATGCTTTAATGTTCAGAAAGCTCTTTATTTGTCTCATTCTGCCTGTGCTGCAGCACCTCTGTTCACCCTCTGTCTGAAACCAGAGCCCAGTCTGCTCTGATTGGTTAGCTGGCCGGCTCTGTTGTGATTGGCCACCCCCTTAGAGATGTATCGGGAAATTCCCACCACTTAGCATATCACATAAAATGTGTTGGATATAGTGATGTCACTATGTTACGGAAGTAAACAAAGGAGTCCAATGGAGGCTGTGTTGTAGGTGTCCCTAAGCTTTAAAAAAAAGTGTTTTAGGACTGTTGTTAACGTTTACACAATTAATCTGTAAGCCTTAACACGTGTTTACGCAAATCACATTAACAAGTTTGACCTCAACTACCTTACTGTATGTAATTCCAGCACGGATGAACCATGGCAATGAAAAGGCTGAGAGCATAAGCTGTATTGCACTGACTGGAGACCACTGGACGTCAGTAAGCAGGAAGGACACACCAAATCCAAATGGTTACTACATTTTTTTGCTTTAAGTGTGGTGAAAATGGAGGAAAAGTATTTTGCCGATACATGTGCACAGGTTCTTGAAGTGGCACAGGAGTGGGAGATACCATCTTAACAGTTCATTTATTTACTACAACACCACAGGTGTATTTGTTGTCTTCCCCCAAAATACAGGTAAATACTAGTAATTTAAACTAAGAGTTTATTTTTGTGATTAAAGCAATTTCATCTTTGAATCAATTTACAGCAATAGTTATTGGATAACTATTAATAAAAAGGACACATTTATGTAATCCTGGATCATAGGTCCTCGATGGATATCCTCGTGGATTCATCTTCCTATTATACACACATGCATTTCCAAACATTTGGACTACCTATGTTGCAAATGTATTATCTTTTCAATTTACACACGGCATCTATTGCACGTCTGTCCGTCCTGGGAGAGGGATCCCTCCTCTGTTGCTCTCCCTGAGGTTTCTCCCATTTTTCCCTTTAAACTGTGGGTTTTCTCTGGAAGTGTTTCCTTGTACGATGTGAGGGTCTAAGGACAGAGGGTGTCGTATTGTCATACTGATATTCTGTACACACTGTGAAGTCCACTGAGACAAATGTAACATTTGTGATATTGGGCTAAATAAATAAACATTGATTGATTGATTGATTGATTGATTGATTGATGTAAAAGTGCAGCTAAAAAACATCAGTGTTTGTAACTAAGGTACTTCGATCAACAGAGAGTGCACATTTGGCTGACTGGAGCGGGTATCCAATAGTGGCTAGGTGGATGTACTTGAGCATAACAAATGGCTGCTGAAGGGTAGCTGTTTTTTTCTCTTTTACTTTTGAATAAAGGACCTGTTGGTTGGCTGAAACAAGGACAGACATTTAACAACATTCCCATTTGACAGCAGCCTAATAGAAAATAATGAAATGACTAACCAATTCAACAAAGAAGCATGAAACAACACGTTGTGTGCTGCAGGGTTGGAAAAAAAACATTGATGTTAATGAAGCTCTACGTAAGCAAACAATAGAGAGAAATATAATCCCCCTCGACGATTATGAAGAAAGGAGCTAGTGTACAAAGGCCCGCATCGTCTTACCATTCAAAATCATGAGCGCGACAAATACAGGACTCTGCCGAAAGGATTCTTGAGTAGTCCTTTCCCAGCATGCAGTAGTTCCCAGGCCTGCGCTTCATGTAAATCTGTTTCTGTCCCATCACGCATGGCTCGCCCTGTCGGCACAAGAAGCACAACAACTGTGACTGAAATGTCCTTTTATGAGGTACAATGTTAAGGGTAATGTTGGTATGTTTCTTACCTCATTGTGCAGGTGCCAGGTTTGATAGTCTTCCTCTGTACATTGCCTGCTGAAGATGGACTTGTAGTCTATCTTGATGAGCTGCCATTCAGAACGGTGGCTGAAGTGTCCAAAAAAGCTACGGAGGCAAATCAGAAGATTACTTTATATCATAATGAACATAATCTGTACTGTGACGAGCTTCATTGAACATTAAATGTTGTATAGTTTGGGTATTTTGTAGTGTAAGGTGCTATTTATTTGTCTCCGGTTCAAGTCAAATCAGAGTGTGGACTGATATAACATTAAAAAGGACATATTATGATCATTTTCAGGTTCATATTTTTATTTTGTTCCCCTTTCTGGGACATGTCTCCATGCTTTAATGTTCAAAAAGCTCTTTATTTTTCTCACACTGCCTGTGCTGCAGCACCTCTTTTCACCCTCTGTCTGAAACCAGAGCCCAGTCTGCTCTGATTGGTCAACCAAATAGAGATGTGTTGGATATGTCCCACCTCTTAGCATATCACGTTGGAGTGCTAGCTAATAGAAGCGTGAGTGTTTTATAGTGGTGTCACTATGTTATGGAAGTAAACAAAGGAGTCCAATAAATACATTTCAGGTGAATGTGGGAGAGACACTCCCGGTGGAGGGAACCCCAAAAACAATAAAATGGCCTCTTTATTTTTTTCTTATCAGTCTCATTAAACATACTTTCCTTTTTTCTATTAATTTCAGTTTTTATTTACATAGTTCTTAATCATAGCAGAAGTTATCTCTTATGACCAGACCCATTTGTCAAGTGACCTAATATCCACAAAGGTCTGACTAACAGCCTACACGACCCATTACCTCATAAGTGTGGCTTAATAAAGACGAAATACCACAGAGCTTTGAACGGATGCCTTCCTTAAACGTCTTAATCTGTTTAGCCTTTTCGCTGAGAACCCAGAGGTTTGAACCGAAGAGGGAACAACCACCAACCTTTCACTCAGCCAACAATACCCACTAAAAGGACATGTGAATAAACAGCTTGTAACACGTCTTTGTCCTTTGTTACATTTCTGACTTACGTCATTATTTGGTTTTCGGCCCCAGCCTCCACCAAGACTCCATCCACGAACAGAGGCACTGCGGAGAAGCTGTGTTGGGTCCACTGCCTCCCCTCATCAAAGCTGACCCTGTGTATGTGTGTCAGAACGCATTCACATCACAAACCCAGCAACAACGATGGCACAAAGACAGACGCTCTCTATTAGAGCCTGGTCATGAGGGGATTTAGGTGGAGATCAGAAAGACGGGTCTCTGAGTCTCTTTGCAATTAGTTACTGTAGCTTTGGGTAAATATCAAAAGGCTGAGCATTAAAGGGGGTATTTAGGACAGACTGTCTGGTTCTAAAACAAAGATGCACAAACGTCTCTCCAGAAAGAAAATACATATTGACGTCAGAGTTCTTTGGTAGAGTCTAGCAGGGGGGGATAAAAAGGAAAGACCAGAATAGAACTGTTTTAAGTTCAACTACAAAACTGCAGAGGGAGAATGAGACAGCGAAAACATTGGACAGCTTTCATCATGGGGACTGAGCCTCTATTGATTCTGACATCTTATCAACATCGTGCTGCAGTGAGAACAACTAAGAGTACCTGACTGTGACATGGGTAGAAACACTGCTGAGGCCTGTGCTCGGAAGAAAGAAAACCCCTGTGTTATTACTGAAAAAAAACCCTTGATTTGGCTAAAAGCACTGTCAACTGGAAAGGCGTTGACATGCACCCATTATGAGATTCTGGCAGGAGTGGCAAGTGTCTAACACTGGCTGAGAAAGCAATACTGTTCTACTGTACAGTGCTGCAGGGTTCTTTCTATCTGTCATTTTTGTTCTTTCTTCCTCTACCAGCACACTTAAATTGGTTGGGAGGGAAAAAAAACAGCAGGCTACACTTCACTGGCTCCAAAACTAATTTCAGAATTGTTGCAAAAGCGACTGGAGAACAGATCTGGTCTCACTTGGATTAGCCTGCAGTGAGGCAGAGCGTAGGCACCCAATTTGGCAAGAGGAAGGCAATGTGTTAATGAAAACACTGAAAGTGTGTGGGGGGGGTCAGTGCGCTGTCTGTTAATGATAAGTGGCTTGAAAAATAAATCTCTCAAATTAGACTGACTGGCATTTTTTTGCAAGAGCCAAAGTGTGTTGTTCACTAAAATAGCTGTAAGACAGTTCTCAAAATGAACGTACCACAAGTGTTTGGTAGGCACAGATGGCTGCTTGACCGCAACGAGGGCCCCTCCTTTGTCCAGAAACCACACGTTGTGCTCCTCTTCAAAAATCTAAGCAGAAAGAAATCATTTTAATATTGATGCAACAGGCAAAATGTGACTTTTGTTATTACAAGAAACCCTGATTTGAGCAATGACCATTCACTAGCCCCACCCACATTTTGGTGAGTATGAACTCCTCTCCCTACCAATATGTCTTAGTCAATATGCTCCCATGTGAACATGGCTCTCATAAATATAGGGTTATGATAAGGGTTTGTGCATGACAATTGAATAATAGACATAAGCACAGAATAAAAGAAGAAAGAAGAAAGAAGAAAATAAATAGTCGCAACATAGAATTCATCTTACAAAACGTGTGTTTCTAGAAGTGGTATGTTTTAATGCAGATATGTGACATTAAGCTAGCTTGCGCCAAACTCTGAAACTAAAGCAGCTAAATGTAATTATTATTGGCGCACGATGTATCAGAAATGTCCGACGAAAACTCTTTGTGGAAAGCTTGACAGGTGTAGCAACAGTAACTAAGCAATTAGGGCTTAGTAAAGTATAAATTAGGTTACATGACAAAACACGCTTATACAATAGAGTTGTGCACAAATGAGTCCTTAAACCCTGAATGAGTTAAGGTTTTCTCACTTTCAGTTCCCTCATCTCAAAGTCAACATTTGTTAGAATGATTGTAATGTGAAGCCTGAAATAAGGTCTATGGTTAACACAAGCTGAAAGGATTTTCATAACGTTTGTACAGTATGCGTCTTCAAAACAGCGGTTGCTAACAACGAGCTAAATGAAACGACTAAACGCCCAACGTTAGCCGCCTTTAGCTTTGCGGTGGTGATGCACAGCCATTTAGTTAATGTGTGGAGATTATCCTGCTGAGCAAAACGCTTTAGTATCATAAATGTGTGTTTGCAAAAGCTTGGCTTAGTCAAATATGTCCTCGCTGCACCACTCTATACATTTGGTAATCATGTAGTTCTTATATTAAAACGTCAAACTGTTGTAAAAGTCTGTCATTTGACTTGATCTCACTGTGACGCTCACCTGTCTCCAGCTATTGCCAGCATCAGACGATATGAACATGCCCACGTTGTTGTAAGACAGCTCTGCTCCAATATTCCCTGCAATGAAAATGCCAACAGAATAATGTGACACAACTGAAATGGACAACTCACAGACAAAGGGGCCATGTTTTTAAATACAAGCTGCCAATCACACCACAGCTGTGATTAATCATTCCTCTGGCTAGGTTCCCAGATCAGCTTTCCATCTCCTATTCATGTGGATAATACAGAGAAGACCCTAGGTTCATTCCTATGGATGCCTGCATCATTCAGGCACCATCATGTGAGATGTGAAGGCAGGGGCCTCCTTCGCTCTGGCAGTTTGCAGCGTTACAACATAATGCCTCCAAAGCTTTTCCTGCGAGTGTGCACGAGTGAACTGACTTCTCCCGTTGATCCGCTCTACTATCTTGGCCACGGCTCAGTAAATAGGCATGTGTTTGATCTGGATGGTGTTTGTCATGTTGGTGAGATGATCTCCGTGCCAGCTGACGTCTTAAAAGGCGCAGCGGGCAAAGTGAATCACGGTGCCAAAGCAAAGGCTCGGCCAGAGATACACAGACGCACAAAGACACACTGTGCAAGCAGAGCGGCGGAGTGGTATGTTTATTCTGCATTCGCACACACAAAAGACAAAACAGACAGATCTAAAGACTCAACATACACAGTCTTTTCACAGTTGTTTCTGCTGACACCGCCACTGGTGCTAAGAAATCTATTTATTCTTAACTCATCTCATTTCCTTGCTTCAACTCTTTCACATGATCTAGCAGGTAGTGGCACCTTTTCTCTCCATGCATAATTGGCTGTTTGATGAAATGACATCAAAACAGGTTGACATGTGATCCACAACATATATACTTAGAAGTGAATATCCTGCAGTGCTCTGTGCCCAGTGTAGCTTAAGGAATTACTGAGCATGGTACTTAAGTGAGAGGGCATGCAAAGGTCACAGTGCTGAGGCATCATGTTGTCTACAGCTGACTGGAACAATACAATACCCCAAAATATCAGTTTTTGAAAAATATGAATGAACATGTATCTAGTTCAAACTCACACAGGCCCTGCCCTCTTTTGGTCTCTATGGGTAATGCCCTAAGCCCCCAGAAGGTGCACCGGCCACTGAAGAGAACCTTTGTAGTGGCCAAACCGCTACAAAAGCAGTTGTGTACCACGGTACAACAACTCACAACTGACAACTGTCAGACCATGACATCATTGGGCCCAAAAATACTTTTTCCCATTGACTTACTTTGGGAAAAATATGTCTGTGAATCAGCATTGTGTTGTTGTTGAGCTAAATAAACTATCCAGCACAAACACTTTAGTAGCCCTTATTTAAGGGTTTTCAAGTTGTAAAGTGCACTATAGGCCCAATCCTGTATCAATTTAAGTGGCAACTATACAGCTTTTTACAAGGATGAATTGGCTGCTTCGAGCACCTCTATGTTTTGGAGCGACAGGGCGAACAGTTGTCGGGCTCCACCCATGGCAACCATAGATGAGAGCAACCCATCAGAACTTTCCCTCAACGTTCTGGCCGCAGCCCCTTATTGGGTGAAAATATCTGCTGTCAATTGACTGGCTGCAAAAACAAATTCTGTATGGTAGGTATGGAATGGTAGGTTCTAGGGATGTAACGATATACCGAATATCGCGGTATCGCGGTAAATAAACGTCCCAATACCGTCGTGAGACTGACAAAATATACCGCGATTTAAAAAAAAAAAAACGTTTATTTAACCAGATGGTCCCATTGAGATCATCGATCTATTTTTCAAGAGAGACCTGTCCAACATGGCAGCAAGTAGATTACAACCGGTTACAACATGAACATAAAACAACAGAACACAAAAGGACATCGTATTTACAGGGCTACATTTACACACCTAGAGACATTGACAAGTACCAACAGTATATTTATATCTCTGTCAATAAGCCTCACCTTCTTGGCAAAAACTGTATTGTTTTTGAAGTGGTGGAGAGACAATGCACAGTTTGACCCACTGCTGTCACCCATGGGCAAAGCATATCTCTCCGTCCCACTGAGGTGGCGTTAGACTTTTTCGCTGTCCGTCATTTTGACAGACAGGATCGTAAAATGTCCGTCATAATCCCTTATTACCCGTCGGGTCTGAACAGTTCACAAGAGAGCACGCTCGTGAACTGTCAACGGGGGGGCGGTGTTATGCCGTGTGTGCATGCACTTCGCGGGAGCGCACACAGCGTAAAGCAAAACCTCCCAGACATGTGTTGATCTGTACGGCAAGTACGGTTTGGAAACTATATCATTTCCTTTTGGAGGGCATGCATAACACGGCATAACACCAGAGCCTCGCTGCGGGGAAACGTTGGCGCTGTTCCGAGTTTGTTCTAATCTGTCAAAATGACAGACTGCTTTCAGATTTTCCCGTCATTGATAAATAAAATATTCGGTTAACGCGACCACTGCTGTCCCAGCAACATCAGTACCAAGCGAGAGAGTTTTTCCCAGAGCAGGGGATATTGTAAATGCCCAAACATCCCAGCTTATAAATACCTGGAAATGTGGAGATTCTCATATTCCTAAAAACCTCTCTGATGATGCTGAGTGAGTGACTAGTGAGTTTGAGTTGAGTTACTTGAAAAAGTGAAACTTGATTTATTTGATTGCAGGGTCTGATTATTAAATGTCCTTGTTTATTTGTGAGATGCAGTGGCACAAAGAAAATGCCTGGTAGTACTATAGGTACAAAAACACAGATTTTCTTGTTCCAGTCTGTTACTGTCACTTTGTTTTTGACACTTTAAAATACTGCTATCCTACTAAAATGCTGTACAAATCAGATGTATTATGTAATTAAGAAACAATTTCCGAGTAAAACACATTTTTATTGAAAAAATAAAAATATAATTTTTTTAATTTTGTATTATTCAATATCGCGATAAATACCGTACCGTGGACTTGTTATCGCAATATTATCGGACCGTGAGGTTTTGGTATTGTTACATCCCTAGTAGGGTCTGTAGATATTTGCTAATACATCAAAACAATTAAGCAAAGTAAAGTGTGCATGTTTGTATCTAGATTGAGCCCAAATCCGATGGTTAGTCAGGCAAACAATGACACAATGTCATGGGAATCAATGGATTCAGGCAGGGTAGGCTCGTCCTGATGAGCAGGCTGCATTTATATACATGTACGTGGGAAGGTATAGAATAGCATATCCCTGTGTTTTTAGAACTAGGGTTACGATACGTAACCTTGGCGACAACATTTGTTTTCTTTATTGCAAAAAAACAACAATCACAAACAAGTTGCATCAGCAGAAAGAGTAAATGGCTTCAAAATCCTATTGTGTTGAGAATTGTTTCTTACCTGTGGCGACTATAACCCCCGGTGCAGAACTCTTGGTGGAGATTGTTCCTGACAGGTAAGGGTTCTCTGACGTTTGCAGCTGTAGATTGAGTGAACAGAAAGGCTGCAGCAAAAGAGGAATACATATGTTAAGTTTAAGATGTAATACATATATTGACCAAATTGTCAAAATAGAGCATTTACATTTGCATCTCATTGGAAAATCCCTTTTACCTTGTCTAGATTTAGAGTTGATATGATATGAATTAATCCTATTTTCACAATGAATCACAATAAAGAGAGGGTCAAAAGAAAGGTTTGGAATGGAACCACCACAAAACAAGCCAGATTCATTGGTCTCCCAAAAAGAAAGGAATGTGCCTTCATACTGTTCTGCTAATTGCATTTGTTTTGTCATTAAAACAAAGAGCTTAGGAATTTGCATTAAAGTATGATGCAAAGTCTCTAAGGCATGCACACAACAGAAGACAATTACATTTGTTCACAGAGCAGAAAAAAGCGTGTCCGCCTTCTTCTTTGTAGCAGACAGCATGTCACTGGTGTAAGGACATCAAGGGCGATGGGACTGAACAGGGTCATCAAAAGGAATCTACAGCAGTAATTAAAATGTCACATGAATGCCTAATCACAGGGAGCTGGTAAGCCACACCGCACGGGCCAGACATCACCTCTTAAACAACACGATCCCCCACTAATGTCTCTCAGCAGTCAGGCTGTGAGTTTTAGTTAAAGGGAGGCTGTCTAAAGAGGGGTCAATAAATACAGCATGGCATCTGAACTGACTTGTTTTTAAAGCACAATTAGAGAGTTTATCATTTATTTGTATCATTGGGCGGCTGTGGTTCAGGGGGAAAATGGACGTCTACAAATCAGAGGTAGGTTGTTCGATCCCCAGTCAACCTTTTTAAAGGGCAAGATTGTCAACCCCCAAAATCTTTCCAATGGCACATTTACTGTACTGAAGAATTTGTGATTTGCCATATTAAAAACAGTCATGTCGACCCCAAAACACATTTTGAGGTCTGTTGGAAAGAGCTTTTGGAGCGGGACCCTCTTCGTTCATTCCTATAAGAGATGCTCAGCAGGGCCTGACGCCAACATGGCCTGACCATTTGGATAAAAGAGTCAGCTAAATCACATGTTATGAAACACCTATAATTAATACTCATATCAGGTTTGCCACAGTATATTGCAGAGAAAAGGTAACAATTAACTATTATAGAATTTCTCTTATGATGTGACATGAAGAAAAAAGCTCTGCATGTGATCCTCAAAATATTTTCACTTTCAAAAGAAGTGGAGGCCCTGCAGGCACTGTGCCCAGTGTAGCTTGAAGAATCACTGAGACAGGTATACTTAAGTGAGAGGGCATGCAGGGGTCACAGACATTTCGGGTCTAGCAGCCGGAAAATCAAACTACAACTTTTCATCTAAAATATATGGCTTTTATCATTTCAAATGCAAATGTGTACCTGTGTTGAGTGATTTGTATTACCAGTGCAATTATACTTAATGGATGGTTAATGGACATGCATTAAAATAGTATGTTTCCAGGTTCAACACAAACCCTCAAAGCGCTTTACACAAAAGAAAGTCAGCAATTACCCATACGTTTGTTGCCCAAGGACACATGACTGCAGGGGATCGAACCAACAACCTTCTGATTGTTGGACGACTATTTACCCCCTGAGCAGGGGTTTCCGTTAGCCGGTAATTACCGGTTTTTAGCTGGTAAAATGTAATAAAAACCGGTAAATTCAAAACCTGCCGGTCAAAATGTCCGATGCTCCGATCGATTGGCCGCCGATCATTATCGGCCGATATTCACTCTTAATAGTTTGATCGGTGCTCTCTATAAAGGCTGATCAGGAGAGCTGGATCTGATCGATGTGGACATAAACGCGAGTGAAGTGTAACCGGACGCGAGAGAGAGATCAGATCAGCTGCTCCATAATCACCTGAGGCCCCGCCCACTGTTTAGCGCGCTGCATGAGAAACTGACGGGCTGTCAGAGAGAGAGGGAGGGAGAAGAAAAGAGAGGATCCGTTTCTCCCGTGTTATTATTCAAAGTTAATGTAAACTTTTGAATAATGTACTTCATCTACTACAAGTAGTTTCTTTGAATGTAATAATTATGTTGTTTGTTGAATCATTTATTGAAAAATGAATCTGAATTTTTCGATCTGTTACGATTATAAATAGAAGCAATATAAAAATGACTCCCATTAACTGAATTTTAAACATCAGCATATCCGGTCCTAGTCCGGTAATTACCTGCTAACGGAAACTCTGCTACACAATTCTTATTCTTATTATTATTGAAACATGACCGGTAAGTTTCAAATTTGTCCGGTAAAATTAATTCTGTCTGGACATTTGACCGGCGAGAAAAAAATCCTAGCGGAAACCCTGCCAGTGCCCTGAGCTGCCCCTATTTCAAAAGTCCATCCATCCATCCATCTTCTTCCGCTTATCCGTGGTCGGGTCGCGGGGGTAGCAGTTCCAGCAGAGAGCCCCAAACTTTCTTTTCCCTGGCGACATCAACCAGCTCTGACTGGGGGATCCCAAGGCGCTCCCAGGCCAGCGAAGAGATATAATCCCTCCACCTGGTCCTAGGTCTACCCCTTGGTCTCTTCCCAGCTGGACGTGCCTGGAACACCTCCCTAGGGAGGCGCCCAGGTGGCATCCTAACTAGGTGCCCGAACCACCTCAACTGGCTCCTTTCGACGCGAAGGAGGAGCGGCTCAACTCCGAGTCCCTCCCTGATGACCGAACTTCTCACCTTATCCCTAAGGGAGACACCAGCCACCCTGCGGAGAAAACCCATCTCGGCCGCTTGTATCCGCGATCTCGTTCTTTCGGTCATGACCCATCCTTCATGACCATAGGTGAGGGTAGGAACGAAAATGGCCCGGTAGACAGAGAGCTTTGCCTTCTGGCTCAGCTCCCTTTTCGTCACAACGGTGCGGTAAAGCGACTGCAGTACCGCTCCCGCTGCTCCGATTCTCCGGCCCATCTCACGCTCCATTGTTCCCTCACTCGAGAACAAGACCCCGAGATACTTGAACTCCTTCACTTGGGGTAAGGACTCATTCCCTACTTGAAGTGGACAGTCCATCGGTTTCCTGCTGAGAACCATGGCCTCAGATTTGGAGGTGCTGATCCTCATCCCAGCCGCTTCACACTCGGTTGCGAACCGATCCAGTGAGTGCTGAAGGTCGCAGACCGATGAAGCCATCAGAACCACATCATCTGCAAAAAAGCAGTGGTGTAATCCTTAGTCCACCGAACTGCAGACCCCCTCCCCCATGACTACGCCTCGAAATCCGATCCATGTATATTACAAACAGGATTGGTGACAAAGCGCAGCCCTGGCGGAGGCCAACCCTCACCGGAAATGGGTCCGACTTACTGCCGAGGACCCGGACACAGCTCTCGCTTTGGGAGTACAGAGATTGGATGGCCCTGAGTAGAGACCCCCTCACCCCATACTCCCGCAGCACCTCCCACAGTAACTCCCTGGGAACTCGGTCATACACCTTCTCCAAATCTACAAAACACATGTAGACCGGATAAGCGTATTCCCAGGCCCCCTCCAGGATCCTTGCGAGAGTAAAAAGCTGATCCGTCGTTCCACGACCAGGACGGAATCCGCATTGTTCCTCCTCAATCTGAGGTTCGACAATCGGCCTGACCCTCCTTTCGAGTACCTTAGAGTAAACTTTCCCGGGGAGGCTGAGTAGTGTGATGCCTCTGTAATTGGCACACACCCTCTGATCCCCCTTTTTAAAAAGGGGGACCACCACCCCGGTCTGCCACTCCTTCGGCACTGTTTCCGACTTCCACGCAACGTTGATGAGACGTGTCAACCATGACAGTCCCTCAACACCCAGAGCCTTCAGCATTTCCGGGCGGATCTCATCCACCCCCGGGGCTTTGCCACTGTGGAGTTGTTTGACGACCTCAGTGACCTCCCCCCGGGAGATTGGTGTTGATCCCCCGTCATACTCCAGCTCTGCCTCTAACATAGAGGGCGGAGTTGTCGGGTTCAGGAGTTCCTCAAAGTGTTCCTTCCAACGCCCTAACACTCCATCAGTTGAGGTCAACAACGTCCCATCCTTACTGTACACAGCTTGGATGGTTCCCTGCTTCCCCCTCCTGAGGTGTCGGACAGTTTTCCAGAACAACTTTGGTGCCGCCCGAAAGTCCTTCTCCATGTCTTCTCCGAACTTCTCCCACACCCGCTGCTTTGCCTCGGCCACGGATGAGGCTGCTGCCCTTCGGGCCTGTCGGTACCTTGCAACTGCCTCGGGAGTCCCCCGGGATAACAAATCCCTGAAGGCCTCCTTCTTCAGTCGGACGGCTTCCCTGACCACCGGTGTCCACCAGGAGGTTCGAGGGTTACCGCCCCTTGAGGCACCTAGGACCTTGAGACCACAGCTCCCCGCCGCGGCTTCGGCAATAGAGGCTTTGAACACCGACCACTCTGGTTCAATGTCCCCAACCTCCACAGGAATGCCCGAAAAGCTCCGCCGGAGGTGTGAGTTGAAGGCCTCCTGAACTTGGGCCTCCTCCAGACGTTCCCAGTTCACCCGAACTACACGTTTGGGCTTACCAGGTCTATCCAGAGGCTTCCCCCCGCCACTCGACCCAACTCACCACCAGATGGTGATCAGTTGACAACTCCGCCCCTCTCTTTACCCGAGTGTCCAAAACATACGGCCTCAGGTCCGATGATACGATAACGAAATCGATCATGGACCTTCTGCCTAGGGTGCTCTGGTACCACGTACACTTATGAGCATCCTTATGTTCGAACATGGTGTTTGTTATGGCCAATCCATGACTAGCACAGAAGTCCAGTAACAAACCACCACTCCGGTTCAGATCAGGGGGGCCGTTCCTCCCAATCACGCCCCTCCAAGTGTCTCCATCATTGCCCACATGTGCGTTGAAGTCTCTCAGCAAGATTAAAGAGTCCCCTTCAGGAGCCCCATACAGGACTCTTTCCAGGGTCTCCAAGAAGGGCCGTATACTCTGAACTGCTGTTGGGTGCATAAGCACACACAACAGTCAGAGTTTTCCCCCCCATAACCCGCAGGCGTAGGGAGGCGACCCTCTCGTCCACTGGGGTAAACTCCAACAACGAAGCACCTAACCGGGGACTTGTGAGTATCCCCCACACCCGCCCGGCGCCTCACACCTTGAGCAACTCCGGAGAAGAATAGAGTCCAACCCCTATCCAGAAGTAAGGTTCCAGAGCCGACGCTGTGCGTAGAGGTGAGCCCAACCAGATCCAACTGGTAACGCTCCACCTCCCGCACAAGCTCCGGCTCCTTCCCCCCCAGAGAGGTGACGTTCCACGTCCCCAAAGCCAGCTTCTGTCGCCCGGGTCTGGTCCGTCGAGACCCTCCGCTTTCACTGCCACCCTTCTGGCAGCGCACCCGACCCCATTGATGTTTCCCGTAGGTGGTGGGCCCGCGGGACGGAGAAGCGGAGGTGTTGCCCACGTTGCCTTTTCGGGCTGGGCCCGGCCGGGCTCCGTGGCAAGCCCGGCCACCAGACGCTCGCCGACGAGTCCTCCTTCTGGGCCTGGCTCCAGAAGGGGACCCCGGGCTTCCTCCGGGCCGGGTATCCTCACTTCTTAGTTTTTCTTTCATGAGGTCTTTTGAACCAATCTTAGTCTGGCCCCTTGCCTGAGACCAATTTGCCATGGGAGACCCTACCAGGAACACAAGGTTCCAGACAACACAGCCCCCAGGTTCATCAGGGCACACAAACCTCTCTACCACGGTAAGGTGCTGGTTCTTCAGAGAACTTATTTCAAAAGTGTAATTTAAAAATAAATTCTTACTAAACAATAATATAAGGTTTGCCACAGAATGTTGAAGTACTTTACATTTTATTTAGCTCTTGTTGTATTCAAAGCGACTTACAATAAGAGTATGCAGGTTCATTTGCTTCAAATAGTGCTTGTGCATTCGTTTAGTAGTTTCAAATAGGCTAAACTATTTATATGCTATTAGTTTTAACAAAACTGACCTCTTCGATAAATGAATTAAAATATTTAATTTTAAATCAGCTGGTTTATTCTGAATCCCTAACCAACAGAATGGGTCTGGGTTAATAATAATATGACAATATACCATATTTACATACAATAGCTTCTTATTAAATACAATCCCCTGTGCATAACATATTCTTAATGGTCACTACGTACCATAACATTGTCCCAGCACTTGCTCAGACAATTAAAGACATTAAAGACATGGCTGATAGCAAGCAAAGTGCTACCGATAATCCATTAATAAGGGTAATGTAACAATTATTTAAAATTATATAGTCAAATGTTTCTTATATGTCTTTGTAAAAACAATTGAACGTGCATTCCTCACCAGTATGCAGTGAATGTCGTTTCCATCCAGGTCAGTGGCAGGAGCCTGCAGGAGCCTCCAGTCCCGGCCCTTGTTGTAGGTCATGAAGGTCTTCACCTGGTTGTCTTGCCTCTTGTTAGCAATCAACATCCCTTTAATCCCTGCAACCTGACACACACACACACACACACACACACACACACACACACACACACACACACACACACACACACACACACACAACACACCACACAACACACACACACACACAACACACACACACACACACACACACACACACACACACACACACACACACACACACACACACACACACACACACACACACACACACACACACACACACACACACACACACACACACACACACACACACACACACACACACACACACACACACACACAGGTTAAAATATCATCTCTACCCTCTCCGTGCTTTTTTATATTTACTTCTCCCATAACAGTTTAGTCTTCCATTGCAGATGAAAAAGCATACCCAGAGCTCTCATCATGAAAGTGCATTTTGTGTATCAACGCAGCAATCTTCTCAGTACAAGCGCAGTAAAATGCAAATGGTGTGTTTATTCCTTTCTTGCTGACAGTCTGGCAGCAGACTCGGCTGCATTTTTCTTACTCCTCGCTAAGTGCTATCTGTAATTATATCCTTACACGTCTCTGCAATCCAGACAGAACAACAATGACGACCGTTGAGAAGTTGTCTGTTTTAGTTGAATCTTCCCAAACACACTCCACAATCAGGTTTTAGACACATCCCTCAACTTAACCAAAGCAATGGAAATAGTTGTTGCCATAGTAAGGGGCAATGCTGAGTCCCTGAAGGGAGCATGTCTGAATAAGTGGCACTAATAGGCTGCGCATCTGACATTGTCATAAAAACGGCGCTCAGGATACATGCGGATAACGAGGGGTCCTATCGTCCTCACCCAACCCAACCTGTCAATCACTGCAGTAATTATTTACTGCCTCAACCTCCTCCATCACATGTGCACGCACACACCTACACACAAACAAGGAGACCCACGCATCCCCACCAGCATACACTTCTCTCCATCCATCCATCACTCACACCACCCACACTCTACTTTATTGACAACATGGTGAAGGAGGCAGGCATATATCTCTATTCTACAGCACAGATTACTCTGAGGGGTGCAGCACTAAAGGAATTCTCCCACTACTTTTAGAAACTGTTATGTGCCATCGTTGTGTTTTAAAGCAGTTCTGCCATTTGAGTAGGAATACAAAAAGGGGATAAAGCTGAAATGTGATCAGAGACAGGGAACATCCTGCTGGTTTTAATCATCTCTGCCACCATCAGTGATGCATGAGTAATAACCATCACCTTGGAAATAATCTTACATTTGTTAGGGAATAATTTGCTTAGGTATTCAACCTTCGACCAGTTCATCGTTTTCTCTCTTTACTGTCTCCTATCCCATGGCATAGACTACGGCCTTGGGTATTGCTGCTATCTCTCTTAAGGAGGAGCAGCTTGGGCGCATTGTTGTTGCCAGTCTATGACAGAGCACAAGCCGCCATGAGGTCGTTTACTGTTCAGGGACGTAGGTTCCCTGGCTCACATTCTTTCCTATGGACGAGAGCTCTAGTTAGATTCAGGGTCCATAATTGTTTAGTCTCACTGATAAAGAATGTTGATTATTACACTCCGAACTAGTTAAAACCTCGAGCTACAGAAGAGTTCTTCAGAATTGGTTTGGCAACCGCTGTGTCAACTCGTGACGCACCGCCTGTCTTTTCAACTCTCCGGCCGAAACTCTAGATAAACCATCAGTGATTGCCATCAAAGCTCCAGCTCTCCTCGTGCCTCTCTGTGTCCTGTTTCCAATTGCTTCAGAAGTTTCCCCCACAAATTGGCATTTTCATTATTACATTTTTCAGTGTTTTTAAGAAGGGGACAATGGTGGTTACACCTTTTAGAGATGCAATACATTTGCAACCAGTAAGTCATGTTTAGAAAGTAAGGGAAGCACATGGCTTACATAGTTATATGGCGGCCGACAGTTGTTGACGCGCTAAAATGACCACAATGCAAATTGAAAAATGCAAATGTGACAAAATACATGCAAATGAAGACACATCTTCACTTAGAAAGCATTCACCAACTGGACGGCAAACTGTCACTGTTGGCAGACTCCGTTGCTTAATTATAAGCGTTTTGTTAGTATACTTCAAGGGACTAGGTTAGCTACGTTAGCTAGCTAGCTTACAGCAGATCTGCAATAATATCAGAAGGAATCATGTGAGTATATTGTAAATAAGTCAATACAACTTATATTTTAGATACTTTTCAGTGACAGTTGGCCAACTTTATAATACACAAATGTCAACAGGCGCTCAAACATATTGAGGGCAGCACAAGCTCTAAACAAACATTGTGACTGTATAAAGTACTGGACTCTGTCGATTTAGTCCTATTAGCACACAAAAGGGAATTCGGACATAACACAGAATGGGAGTGACTTGAGTCGTCAACATGTACTGCACATGAAAGTGATTTGTTTAGCATTTCAGGCTAATCTACATATCCCTCATATAGCCATATGTGAACAATAAAACTCAACCATTGCAGTTTATTGCATCATATGATCACAACAAATTAATATAATCTGTCTTCAATGCAGCGTTTCCAAATCAAATTCCTGTTATTTTCAATTCAACTGAGCTTTCATTAATTATTTATTTACAATATTTGATTGTATTGTTTGGTTACATCTTTGGACAGCTGTGGAATAAAAAAATGTCATTGTATGTGACAACACTTAAAGAAAATACATGTGCCAGTTTTTTAAATGTTATTATTATGCAATAGCCCTTAAGGTTTACTCCTCGTTCAACCATCCTTTTTAGAGATTTGAAATACATTTGAAATGCCACATCCTTCTCAAAGCAGATTTTATACATGTTTTTATTATTTTCTCTCACTTAAAGAGCACTACTTGTTGTAATGGTCAGTATAAATGCTTTTTTTGGGAATCCTTTTTTTTTTTTAAATGTCAGTGCACTATTTAACAAAGAGTCCAATACCCAAGGTTATTTCATATTTATTCATATAAAGGAAAACGATATACAGATCTAGAACCAGATAATATGTGGGACTTCAGTTAGATGACCCACATCATTAATCCTTAACATGAACTCGTATACTCTTTATATAAGGAATTAAGTTATCCATTTTCAATTAAAGCTGTATTAATGGAATTGTTGCTAATCAGCAAAAGCAGCTAAAAACACATTCAAAACATATTGTTGTAGCATTAGCATTTTACCCATATAACAAACAAAGTATCATTCATTTGGAGTTCAGTTACTGTGCACCTGACACATAATAGTTGAACATTCACTCCCTTTTAAGAGTTTATTTGATCGCAAACAATACCTATAGACAATATCTGGCTCTTTAACTCCTGTCCCGTCTGTTCAGTGTTCAGCTGGTAGGAAACACTGAATTTATCTTTGTTTAACCTAAAGTTGTAGTAGTTAGAAAACATGCTGAAAGCACAATCCAGAGTTATTTTTCTCTCCATTCATTCATTCTGAGTCAAGACCGGCCGTGACACTGTGGATTGGAGGCGGGGTTTATGAGAAACACAGGTGAACATGCTCAGCTACAGGTACTTTTGCTCTGGAGTGTCAGGCCATTTTGGCTTCATTCATCACTGAGCAACCCGGAATAAACGGGGCCCCGCCTCCAATGCTGTATACATGTATCTTTATAGATCCGAGGTTGTTCAACACATTTGGAGCAGATTTTTAATTAGCGGAGCCGTTGGACTTTAAAGTTGGAGGAAACTAGAATCAAGGGTTATCATTTTCTGTAAAAAAAAGGTGACCCCATATTAAATATAGTAATTAAATCCTTTACTTACTCATTATCATGGGGGTCCTATACAGAATTCTATTGAAAGTGTTACTATAAAAACCTAAAGAGCCTTCAAAATGAGTATAGTTGTAGACATGCCCTACTAACCTCCTATTGGGAAGGCCAATTCTAGTAACCTTGATGAAAAAAATATTCAATGCATTTTTAAATCACCGTCTGTGTCGATAATACCCAGGAATTTACTTTTATTGAAACTACATGTATATATTGTATTGTGCTGATGTTGCTTGTTTATTGTGTTTGCTGTTTATTGTAAGGAAAAACTCCATAAAGTCTAAAAGGAAGGAGGAAAAATAGTGAATCCGTCAGGAACAATGGCGGAATCCGGGATAGCGGGGTTGAGCCAAGTCTCAGTGAGAATGAACACGTTACAGTTCTTAATGTCCCGTGGAAAAGCAATCCGACTTCTGAGTTCATCTAGCTTATTTTCAATGGATTGAACATTAGCCAGAAGAATACTCGGAAGAGGGGGTCGGTATTCTCGTTGTATCAGTCTGACCAGCAACCCGGCGCGGGACCCTCACTTGGTCTTCCTCCTGCGTCTCTCAGGTAGGACAGCAGCAGGTAGTCATGGTGAATCTCCATTGTCTGTCGGTGGGTTATTGTCCACGAAGTTTCGGATGTGAAGAAGTTCTTCTCTGCTATATTGTATAGCAGAGTTGGTGCGGTCGGCTTGCATGTTGCGAACCATGTTAAAAGCAAAAAGTAAATAAACACGCACAAAATAAAATAATAAAATACGAAAAAGGGCAAAGCTGGAGAGGAGCCAAAGAACAATGCGGCCATCTTCACCGGCGCATTTTGCATCGTGAGTACCAGCGTTATAGAGATCATACAAGGCTTTTCACTGACAAACAAATCACTTAATTTATTCAATGAATCATTGAGAACTGTTTATAGCAATGCATGAGCAAGAGAAAAACACTTTTTGATACAGTTTACCCAACCCAATCGGAATAATAATTCTCAGAGAGCCACCTGCTAACAAGCCCCCCCCCCCCCCCCCCCCTCCTTTCTGTGTGGGAATAGTGTAATGATTTTAAGGAGGAGGATGCAGCGAGAGAGAGGCCCTCTGGGAAGAATAGACATGAGTACTAAGTGGTAGAACAAAACAACTTTCATATACTTTGCCGTCTCCCCTCTGGTCGGAGCACGTCTTCTCTGGAACATTAGCTCTGTGAAGTGCAGTTTGTCAGGGTCTAACAGCAATAAATGGGATGAGTTC